CCCCCAAGGGTCCCTTGTCATTTCCTGCATCCCAATAAGTGACTCCAAAGGGCAATTTTTCTCTATCCTTGCCTCTCCCCCCCATTCTACCATTTTGACACACAGAGTGACATTTTTTGGTCACTAATTTTAAGTGACAAAACACGGTTGTGCCCTCGCATGAGTTCCTGGTGGACAGAGTCTTACAAAATGGTATAAAAAACATTTAAAATAAAATTCCGCCAGTACTGAGCACGGGTAGACTGTTCCCTGAACAATTCACATATGGCATATGTAAATATATGCAAATATATGCAAATCCGGTGCCAGTTTATAAAAGGGACTTCAACGACCTTGGATACTGGGATTGACACGGAGATCATAAGACCACAGAGTCAAGGACAAGGTCACAGGAGGAGGCAGGCTTCGACCTTGACCTTGGACTCCAGCCTTGGGGTTTTAATCGCTATGTTCCTGGTTGACCCTGTGGTGGGCGCCATATGGGATCCAGATCCCCTTCCTGGTGAGAGTCCAGGGCAATTTTCTAGTAGAAAGTTCTGGATTCTGGAGGGAACTCTTCCTTTATCCCTATCATGACTATGGGGTTATAATAGGAATATCATACAGACTGGCAAAATGAGTCCTGGAGATTCAAGATGGAGATCCATATCGTGCACATGGCCCAGCCGGCTCCTTATGTCCCCAGACACGGTAGCCAGGCGGTGACCCCACCCGGCAGACCCAAAGGAGCCCCATCTTTTCCTTGGCATCCCTGTCTACCCGGTTAGGGTTTGGATCTGTCAAGTCCTCGGAGGCCTCTGTGCTCAACCCTTGGTCTCCATCCTGTGAGGCTTTTGGGAGGTGGTGGGACCTTTAAGAGGCGGGGCCTAGTGGGAAGGGGTGTGGTCATTGGAGGCGTGGCCTGGTAGGGACTATTGAGAGCCATTAGTTCATTGGGGGCGTGGCCATTTAGACACTAATTAAGTCATTGGGGGTGTGGCCATTGAGAGCCTCATTAGGTCATTGGGGGCGTGGTCATTGAGAGCCCATTAGGTCATTGGGGGCGTGGCCATCACACGCCTCATTGGTTCGTTGTGGGCGTGGCCATTTAGACACTAATTAAGCCATTGGGGGTGTGGCCATTGAGAGCCTCATTACGTCATTGGGGGCGGGGTCATTGAGAGCCTCATTAGGTCATTGGGGGCGTGGTCATTGAGAGCCTCATTAGGTCATTGGGGGCGTGGTCATTGGGGGCGTGGCTTTTCAGGAGATATTGAGATACCAGGCTCTTTTTATTATTTATTATTATTATTAATTTATTTATTTTTATTTTTCTCCTCCTCTGTCTCTCCCTACCTCCTTCCCACCCTTCCTCCCTCCCTCTCTCTGTCTCTCTCTCTCTCTCTCCCTCTCTCTGTCTCTCTCTCTCTGTCTCTCTCTCTCTCTCTCCCTCTCTCTGTCTCTCTCTCTCTGTCTCTCTCTCTCTCTGTCTCTCTCTTTCTCTCTCTCTCTTTCTCTCTCTCTCTCTCTCTCTCTCTCTCTCTCTTGGGCACAGACAAGGAGTGCAGTGCACTCCATGGGCAACAGTGCAGGGCGTCCCGGTGTGAAAAGGGGAAGTTGAGGGGGACGAAGACCCTGGTTATCACTGTCCGTTTCCTGCCCAGCTGACAGACAGAAGACGATACCAGGTCTTCCTACCCGCCGATCCCCACAGACGGACAGACGGACAGACGGAGCCCGCGCCGTGCGCACTGCAGGCCTCATCAGAGCCTTTGTCGGGAATTCCCTGACGGGGACCTTGGGGACGCTCAGGTCCGAGTGTCATTTTTTTATTTTATTTATTTATTTTTTTGGAGATGACCAGCCTGGCCAAGACTTTCGCGCATGCACACAGCAAGATGGCGACTTTCCAACGCCTGCACAAAATCGGCCCAGAGGTAAATTAAATTTATTTTCCCCTCCTAATTTGGGGTCCCGAGTTCCTTGTACTCGCATGAAAAGTTGAACAAAATGCCTGCAAATTCCATAGAGAGCAAGGAGGGGGTGCAGCCCCGGGCTGTGGCTGGAGTTTGGCCTGTCAAGGTCGTGGGTTCAAATCCCAGCACCTCCTCAAAAAATATCTGACCCGGGTGCAGCCTGGCCATCCCTTCCCAACCCTACAAAATGCCCAGCTGAGATGCAAACCTGTGGGGTCCAGCTGGGTCTCTAGGGTTTAAGGAAATTCAGGGCTGGGTTTTGGGGTGCCCAGGAATGGAAAAGCAGCCGAGTGGACACCGTTGACAATGATTTATGGCACGATTTCAAAAGAGCTACAAGGGAGGAATTCGTGTCCCCAATATAGGCATTTGTTAGATGTCAATTAAAATGAGTAAAAAAAAATTTACAAGGATTTATAAAAGAAAAAAAAATTTTTTCCTGTGGAATATTATGCAGCTAGGAAAAAGGAAGGGGTTCTGCTATCTTAGCGGGGTGAAAAGTGATGACACCGTGGTCGGTGAAGGGAGCCAGTCACAGAAGGACAGATGTCATATGATTCCTCAAAGTCACACAGACAGGAAGTAAGCAGGGTGGTGGGTGCCGAGTCAGGGGATGGGAAATAGGGGGACCCTTTACTCATGGGGACAGTTTCAGTTTGGGGACAGGGGACATTTTGGAGATGGATGGAGGCCTTAATCACATGACCATATGAGTGTACCTAATCCCACTGGTATTTTCACTCAATTCTTGTCAATTTTGGGGGGAAAAAAAATCAAAGAATTTGAGACCTGCTCTCAAAATATATGCAAATGTATGTAAATATATGCAAATACAAAAACCCATTCCACTGTGCTTCAAAACCTCAAATTTCACCCAGGGTTCCAGCAGGTTTCGGAAAGTCAATCCTTTTTCACGGGTGACTAATACTCCGCTTCGTCTAAAAATTTCTGCCTGTAATTTTATAGGAATACATTTTATGCATAAAGCGAATAGGGGAACTCATTGTGCCGGGAGGGCCTGTTTGATCTCTCCACGAAATGGAATATTACTCGCTGATGAAAAAGGAGGTCACTGTGTCTGACACTTAACCCAGGATCAGAAATCTCGGGGTTTCCCCCACCACCATCCAGGCCATGGAATCTCAGCCCACTTCCCCAACTTTCTGCGCCTGACACCCCAAAGGAGGATCCAGGGCACACCTGGAATTCTTGTCCTCAGTCCCATGGTAATAATAGGGACAGTCATGCCTGTCAGTGTCCTGGGGTCAACAGCAGTGACACATGGTGTGGCCTGGACATGGGAGGAACACCCTGGGACCCTCACACAGTATCTCATCAACCCTGCTGAAGGGGCATTCACTGTTTTCTCTTGAGGCCTTCAACTCATGAGGCGAGGCCCACCCACCTGGGAGCCGGTTGTGTGTTCGACCCAAATCTGATTGATTTCAATAGGCACATCATCCTGAAAAGAAATGGAATCCCAGATATGAGTCGCTGGACATCTCTGGGTCCCGGGGCTCACACAAAAAATGAAATTTGCCATAAGTCTTGTAGGATTTTATACAAATTGGTCCCAAATGCCCTAACCAAAGCCCACAGCTCTGTGGGGATTGACAACAGAGAAATACCACCCCCACCCCAGTCTCGCGGGCTTTAAAGACCTGTCCCATTTTCTTTCTTTCTTTTTTTTTTTTTTTTGGCACATTTAGGTCCAGTGTTGGGGACTGGGCCTGGCGGCCATGTTGCACCTGGTCTGTGTTCTGGTTCTTCTGAGCCCCGCCTGCTGTAAAGGGGATGCTCAGCTGGGTAGGTAACAGGGAAGGCTCATTTGTGGGGTTCTTTTCACTTATGAAAATAAAACCTTCCCATAAGCTAGAAAACTCCAAATAAACCTAATAATAATAGCGTTTGATGACCGAATATGTGATCACCCAAAATGTGTTTACCCCAAATATGATGTCCAGGACAGAGATGACTGAGGGAGGAAAAAAAATGGTTCCCCATTACTGACCTCATTGGCTGACAAGGACATATATATGCGACAAGGGCAAAATGAGGTATAGCTACACTATGCAACCCTAAACAAACATGAAATCATGTCATTCGCAGGAAAATCGATGGAACAAGGTGGATGTGGTGAACTAAGTCAAGCTCAAAAACACAAATATTTCAGAATCAAGACCTAAAAAACATAATGTGACATAATTGTAAAATATGGGCTTTTTGGGGAAAAAAAAACTGGAGAGGAAGGGTGAAAGGGGAGGCTGAGAAGGAGATTATAACAAAAAGTTCATATATATGGAAATATCACATGTGATTAATTTATGTTCATAAAAAATAAATAGAGCTGAAAAAAATCAAATGAGAAGCAAACAAGGGAAGATTTCTATAGTCAGCTGTTTGTTGACCAACTGCGAGTCATATGGCAACTGGGGATCCAGGCTCAGTCTACACTTTTTGAAATCACAGCACAGGACAATGTGACAGTGAACCTGACCTTGGATGTGAGGAAGAAAATGCTAAGCTGGCATTCCAAGGAAAATGTCACTGACCAGGAATGTCACCTTGTGACCCCTGTGGATTCTCCCACTAAGACTAACGCTCGGGTAGGTGACTGACTGTATGATCCCAGTGACTCTCGGGTGTCCCTATGGGATGACTTCTGGGCCCCGCCCTGCTTCAGATCCTCATTTGTGGCTACTCTGATTCCCTATACAACCTTTCAGTGAGGTGACAGGGGTCTGCAAATTAAATAACTCAAGCATGGAGTAAAAGGACAAGGTGTCCTTTTATTTAAAGGTGTGTGTGAAAACCTAAAGAATCAGAGACAGTGTCTCATTTTAATAACGGGTGGAAGAGGGATAAGCGTTGTCTCTCTGTGAGTGAACACATAGTGCCAGGACGTCCATCTTCCTTCTCTGTCTATCTGTGAGTGGACATAGGGACATCCATTATGGCTCTGGGGCCTTTCCTTACTTCCTTGTCCATCTGTGAGTGGACTCATGACATCCAATATGGCACCAGGACCCTTCTTTGTCCATCTGGAGTGAACATGTGGACATCCAATATGACGCCAGGCCTCCCACCGTTGTCCCTCTGTGAGTGGACACAGGACGTCCAGTATGGCCTCAGAGCCCTTCTCTTTTCCTTTTCTTTCCATTTTCAATTTTGTTAGTAATTAAGAGGATTTTGAGAGCAGAATTCCGTGGCCTTGCGGGATTTCTCCTGCAATCCACTGATTTTGCATTTCCCATCGACTCCACACGATCACGATCCTGTGTTGGTGGTTTTCGGATTATGGACCTGATACGATTTCAGTGCATTTTCCGACTGTCCCAGAAATTGAATTTAAACCTGGAGGGGGGAAAATAGGAAATTGGGAGGGGGGGGGGGCAGAACTTAATTTAATCCTTGCAGGCGACGTTGTTGCAGCTTTCTCTGTTTTTCAAGGAAATTGTCATTTTCTCTCTTTTTTTTAATTAAAAAGTCTTCTCTGATAGTTTGTGAATAAAATTGCATTTCTGTCATTTTTCTGGATTTTTTTATATAACTTCAAAAATCTGTTAATTTTTTTTTTTTTTTTTTTTTGGCTAATGTCTGTTTTGAGTTCATTTCCTTATTCCTGCTCAGTTTCCTCTGCTTCAAAAAAAAAAAAAAAAACTGTAGTTTTTGGGGGCGGAGGTGCTGTTTTCAATTAAATGGTTCCTTGGCACTTTTCCCTAGTTTTTTGTTTTCATTTAATTTTTAATTTACATTTTATTAACAAATATTCCTCTTAAGAGGGATTGCAGTCAGATTTTGCACGAATTTTTATGCAGATGATAGACTTTGAGCTAATTTTTCCCCTCTGTGATGATTTTTGGGTTTTTCCTTACTCTCCTGTTCTTGAGCAATTTTCACAAATTTCAGTTTTGCATTTAAGGTTTTTATGTCTGTCCCGCTGTCAGGGGAAGGAGCTGTCTGTCACTCATCCAGGGAAATTTGTCACTTTTGATCCCAGAGGTGGGGGAAGGGAGAACCCACTTTAGGTTTCACCTCATCTTTGGCTGTAGGGACGTTTTTCCATTCTTTGGGATTTTATTTTATTTATTTATTTATTTTGGTCGACACTAATGCAATCCAGTTGTGAAATTCCCACCAGGCAGGATTTGGGGTTTTGCACCAGGCACCATTGGATTTTGCACCAGGCATCAGTGAGTTTTGCACTTTGCACAAAAAGGATTTTGCAATAATAATTCCAGTTAGGAGCTCACCCTGCCCTGGGCCTCTTGTGTGGGAGGTGACGATTGCTGGTAAATGAGTCCTTGTCCCCCGTGACAGGCCTGACCCTTGTTGTGCAGCACAGAGCCTCACACAGATTTGACAAAAAAAAAATTCCATGGTTTTTTGGCAGCTGTAGCACCAGGAGGGACCTGGACATGGCAAGGTACCAAGGTCGCCACTGCAGGTCTCCTGTCTCGCAGTGTCACCAGCACTGTCACGGCTGGAAGCCGGGGTCTCTCACAACACCCAGGGACCTCGGAACCCCAAAATCCTCAGCCCTACTTATGTCTCTATGGGGCACTGAGCAGCCCTTATCTGCTTTCCTTTTTTGGGATCACCATAGTCACTGTCTTTTCCATCCCATAGACCTAGATGGATGGGTGGGTGGATGGGTGGATGGATGGATGGATGGGTGGATGGGTGGATGGATGGATGGGTGGATGGAAGGATGGGTGGGTGGATGGATGGGTGGGTGGATGAATGGGTGGATGGGTGGATGGATGGATGGTTGGGTGGATGGATGATGGATGGTGGATGGGTGGATGGATGGATGGATGGGTGGATGGATGGGTGGATGGGTGGATGGATGGATGGATGGATGGGTGGATGGGTGGGTGGATGGATGGGTGGGTGGATGAATGGGTGGATGGGTGGATGGATGGATGGGTGGGTGGATGGATGGATGGGTGGATGGGTGGATGGATGGATGGATGGGTGGATGGATGGTTGGATGGATGGATGGATGGGTGGATGGGTGGATGGATGGATGGATGGATGGGTGGATGGGTGGATGGATGGATGGATGGGTGGATGGATGGGTGGATGGATGGATGGATGGATGGGTGGATGGATGGATGGATGGGTGGATGGATGGGTGGATGGATGGATGGATGGGTGGATGGGTGGATGGATGGATGGATGGATGGGTGGGTGGGTGGATGGATGGATGGATGGTGGATGGGTGGATGTGGATGGATGGGTGGATGGATGGGTGGATGGATGGGTGGATGGATGGGTGGATGGATGGATGGGTGGATGGATGGGTGGATGGGTGGATGGATGGATGGATGGATGGGTGGATGGGTGGGTGGATGGATGGGTGGTGGATGAATGGGTGGATGGGTGGATGGATGGATGATGGATGGGTGGATGGGTGGATGGATGGATGGATGGGTGATGGATGGGTGAGGATGGGTGGATGGATGGGTGGATGGGTGGATGATGATGGATGGATGGGTGGATGGTGGGTGGATGGATGGGTGGGTGGATGGATGGGTGGATGGGTGGATGGATGGATGGGTGGATGGGTGGATGGGTGGATGGGTGGATGGATGGATGGATGGATGGATGGGTGGATGGATGGATGGATGGATGGATGGGTGGATGGATGGATGGATGGGTGATGGGTGATGGATGGATGGATGATGGTGGATGGATGGGTGGATGGATGGATGATGGGTGGATGGATGGATGATGGGTGGATGGATGGGTGGATGGATGGGTGGATGGGTGGATGGATGGATGGATGGGTGGATGGATGGGTGGATGGGTGGGTGGATGGATGATGGATGGTGGATGGGTGGATGGATGGATGGATGGTGGATGGATGGGTGGATGGATGGGTGGATGGATGGATGGGTGGATGGGTGGATGGATGGATGGATGGGTGATGTTGGGTGGATGGATGGGTGGATGGTGGATGGGTGGATGGGTGGATGGATGGGTGGGTGGATGGATGGATGGATGGGTGGATGGGTGGATGGATGGGTGGATGGACGGGTGGATGGATGGATGGTGGATGGGTGGATGGGTAGGTGGATGGGTGGATGGATGGATGGATGGGTGGATGGGTGGATGGATGGATGGATGGATGGGTGGATGGATGGATGGATGGGTGGATGTATGGGTGGATGGATGGGTGGATGGATGGATGGGTGGATGGATGGGTGGATGGGTGGATGGATGGATGGATGGATGGTGATGGGTGGTGATGGATTGTGGGTGGATGAATGGGGGATGGGTGGATGGATGGATGGTGGTGGATGGTGGGGGATGGGTGGATGGATGGATGGATGGGGGATGGATGGGTGGATGATGGATGGATGGGTGGATGGGTGGATGGATGGATGGATGGATGGATGGATGGGTGGATGGATGGGGATGGGATGGATGGATGGGTGGATGGATGGGTGGATGGGTGGATGGGTGGATGGATGGATGATGGATGGGTGGATGGGTGGATGGGTGGATGGATGGGTGGATGATGGATGGGTGGTGGATGGATGGATGGATGGGTGATGGATGGATGGATGGGTGGATGGATGGGGTGGATGGATGGATGGGTGGATGGATGGGGTGTGGATGGGTGGGTGGATGGTGGATGGATGGGTGGATGGATGGGTGGATGGATGGATGGGTGGATGGATGGGTGGATGGGTGGATGGATGGATGGATGGATGGGTGGATGGGTGGGTGGATGGATGGGTGGGTGGATGGGTGGATGGGTGGATGGATGGATGGGTGGGTGGATGGATGGATGGGTGGATGGATGGATGGATGGATGGATGGGTGGATGGATGGTGGATGGATGGATGGATGGGTGGATGGGTGGATGGATGGATGGATGATGGGTGGATGGGTGGATGGATGGATGGATGGGTGATGGATGGTGGATGGATGGATGGATGGATGGTGGATGGATGGGTGGATGGGTGGATGGATGGGTGGATGGATGGATGGATGGATGGATGATGGTGGATGGATGTGGATGGATGGATGGATGGATGGATGGATGGGTGGATGGGTGGATGGGTGGATGGTGGGTGGATGGATGGGTGATGGGTGGATGGATGGATGGATGGTGGATGGGTGGATGGATGGATGGGTGGTGGGTGGATGGTGGATGGGTGGTGGTGGATGGGTGGATGGTGGGTGGATGGGTGGATGGATGGATGGTGGTGGATGGGTGATGATGGATGGGTGGATGGATGGGTGGATGGATGGTGGGGTGGATGGGTGGATGGGTGGATGGGTGGATGGATGGATGGATGGATGGATGGGTGGATGGATGGATGGATGGATGGATGGGTGGATGGATGGATGGGTGGATGGATGGGTGGATGGGTGGGTGGGTGGATGGGTGGGTGATTGTTCGATGGGTAAATAGTTGCACTTTTTTGCACACCTCTGTTCCCTCTCCATCCGTAGTTGTGCACAGATGGCAGCTTTTGCTGCCGGTTCCCCAACTCCGTCCTCCACAGTGGTGCCCAGCTGACTGTTCGAGGCCAGGTCCATGGAGGGGACAAGTTCGAGAACACCCTGATCTTCAACAACTCAGGTGAGAATGGTCCCCTAATCTGTGTCAATGGTTTTCATGTCACACCAATCAGGTGCCAGGAATGGAGACGTTTGTTGAGTGATTTTGGTGACACCTTTGTCCACAGGTATGCCGGGATCGGGGGCTGTGAACTTCTCCTGCCTCATTTACAGAATCACCTTCATGAACTGCACCTGGGTGCCTGGCCCTGCCGCACCCGCGGATGTCATCTATCACCTGTACTCCTGGTTTAACAGGTAACACTGGGCACCTGGCCACCAGGTGCGGGGTGGACAGCAAGGTGGGATAATGGCTTTTCCTGGATGGTCTTAGGGCCGCCAGATGGTTTTGAAAATCTGTAAAGCTGGTGGGAATGGAAACCAGTGCAGCCATTACAGAAAACGCTATGGAAAGACAGGAATTTGTATAGGATCAAGTTTTACCTGTCCTGGTTCTGTACCTGAGGGAAATGAGTCCAGCAGGTGACAAGGACATTGCAGCCCTGTTTACAATGGCCCAAAATGGTGCCAACCTAAGTGTCCATCAATGGATGAGTAGTTAAAGGAACTGGGGTGCATGTGTGCGGTGGAGTACCATACAGCCATGAAAAAGGTGCAAATCTGTCACTTGTGACAATGTGGACAGTAGGCAGACGGTCATAGTGTACGGCGTATTACAAAAACGTCGAAGAAAGGGTTGTCCACATTTCCAGCAGTTTAAAAATGATACAAAGTGACAAATAAATTGCTTAAGTATAACACAAAATATTCACTCACAGAAATGTCACAAGGGGCCCCTAAATCAGGCTGATAGCTTTCTGGGTTGACAAGAGTTCGTGGTTGTTTTGATTTTTTATTATGTTTTTCTTTTTTCTACCAAGATACACATTTTCTTCTTTCTCTGAGTTATTTTTGACCCTACAGGGATGACGATGAGGTCGAATGTCCCCAGTACCTTCTGGATTTGAGGGGGACCCGCGTGGGCTGCCATTTTGATCAACTCGGGGAACCCAACCGCTGGGATAATTATTTCTTCTTCATCAACGGAACCAGCCAGGAGTCGCTCATCCCATTCGTGGATTTTGTCCCATTCGTAGCCGTTCAAAACGGTGAGACGTTCTTCCAAATTGAAATTCCCAAATACGGAATGGGAAAACCCAAAACCACCCCTCCTGGGAGAAATACGGGATAAGACTCATAACATCGATGGATTCCATTAAGGTCACGATGTGTTGATTGACTGTTCAACGTGTGTTTTTATTGAGTGACATGGACTTGAACTCACAGCAGCTCGTACCCCAAAACCAGGTGAACCATGTGTATTTTGTCCTTAAAACATGTGAGGAATTCACTGTTAAGTGCCTCCATGGGGGCCTGCAAATTAAACTAACTCACCTTCAGATTCACATGGCAAAAGAAAATGTAAATTTAAATTTTATTTTTACCTTTATAAACCCATAAAGGGCTTTATTTAAAAAATGGGAAAAGTCCCAAAAGAAGCATTTATGGGATTGTGTAGCGTTCTCACAAAGGTTAATACAAGGTAGAGAAGTGAATGAAAAAAGGAAAAGGGTCTGAGCCTCCAGGGGTTGACATAATAAAAATGTAAATCTCTAATAGGGTTTTTTTCACCAGCCTTTGGTGTCAATTTTCTGTATTTTTTTTTCTTGGCCATAAAACTATGTAGAGTCAGACTTTATGGCTGTTTTGATTTCTGCAAAGTTTCTGGAGTTTCTTACACAAAACCCTTTTCTTCCTCTGCAGAAAATAACACATGTGCCATAGGGTCAGATTTTGGGATGCCCCCTTCTGAACCCTTTAATTTTATCCTAGGCTTGAATAACAGAAATCCTAAAAACGTAGGGTATTGTGGAATTCAGTCAATAAGCCCCTGATAGTTGATTGAATAGTGGTGACTGGGTGCTTCCTTTGTGGTGAAATTCAATGAACCCCGTTAGTTGATTGAATATTGGTGACCCAGGTGCTTCCTTCATTAGGATTTTTTGTCCCCCACCAGGGTCCACCATTACCTCATGGGTTTTTATTACAGAAAAGTACAATGCCCCAGCAAATGTCACCGTCCACAACCGAGGACCGGAAACTGTCATCGCGTGGGACAATCCACACAGGAGGTTTGACCTGGCACCTGCGACCTTCTGTTACGAGCTTGACCTTCAGAGAAAGGTGATGACCCCGAACCCGGGGACCTTTATTCCCCCCACCTGCCCATTTGGGGTCCACTCTAGAAATGGCCCTGGTCACCTCGCCTCTCTTCCCTATGTTCCTTCTGTCACCAAAGCTTTGTGTCCTCAGCTGGGTGACCTCACGGCAAAGGTCGCATGGGTAGCGACACACAGGTGACCTCAGGCAGGTAAGAGGGACACAGGCCACTCTGTGTCCTCATTAGTGGCCCCCCAGCACCTGGCCCAAGATAAAGTTGTGGGACGGAATTTTGGGTTGCACATGAAAACTTTTCAACTCTGTTCCGGGGGCCTGCAAATTAAAGTCATGACAAGTAGTGGCCGTTAGAAAAAAAAATACAAAATTTATTTATATGCCAATGAATGCGTAAATGTGTGTAAGCCAATTAGTAGGGGCAGACACTGGGGCAAGAAGGCCCCTATAGGAACCATATATGGATTTCTTCCAAAGACGTTATTTTACCCCTAACATTTGGGATTCTGAAATATTCGGAAGACAACAAACTCATCTGGATGGCAAGTTGGGGAATCCATGAAAGTTTCCTTCCATATTTGCGAAAAAGAATCGGAAAGGCTCCCAAATTCATCTAGTTTCTCTGATTTTTTTAAATAGGGGAGCTCACAGAAGCAAGACCCTGTAAGTATCTGTTTTTTCTATGATGGACTTTGGGGGACACCCCAAAATTTTGCCCCTTGGGCATTTTCCCCTCTAAGCGGGGGCTGAACGATGTGCCATATGCGCCTGTCACCCGGGAATGGGGTTTTATTTGCGAGCCGGGTCCCCCAGGTGGACCCGGACCCCTCATTGGGCACGCGGAGGAAGGTGGAGCTGGGGCTCCCGAGATGTCCTCCTCATGGCATCAGGATTTGGGATTTTGTGCAAATATGGAGTCCGTGTGAGGGAGGCCCCCAAATTTGCACAGTGAGCAACCCGGACACCTGGACTCGTCCATCACGGGTCACCTGTGTCCAACGACGAGCGAGGCCATCTTTTCTCTCGAAGATCTTCCAGAGGGGACAAGACAGGAATGAGTACCGGGTGCCCAGGTCCCAGGGGGACACGGAAAGTACCGTGCGCATCCGGGTCCGTCACCTGCGGGGTCACCTGTGGAGCGACTGGAGCCAGACGCTAAGCTTTGGTCAGTGTCCCCTGAGGTGACCCTGAGGTGGTGTCCCCTCCTCCTGTGCGTCAGGGACGACAGACCCCAGTCCCTCAAGGGACCATCTCGGCGTCCCCACCCCACACACACTGGGGACACAGATAGGTCACCATTGTCACCTGCTGCCACCACAAGGGACCCTGAGCAGGACAAACACTGCCTCATCCCAGCCCCATCCTTCCTACGCAGCTGCAAGGTCACCTGTGTGAGGTCACCTGTGTGAGGTCACGTGTGTGAAGTCACTTGTCACCTGTGTGAAGCTATCTGTCACCTGTGTGAGGTCACTGTGTGAGGTCACCCGTGTGAGGTCACCTGTGTGATGTCACGTGTGTGAAGTCACTTGTCACCTGTGTGAAGCTATCTGTCACCTGTGTGAAGTCACCTGTGTGAGGTCACTGTGTGATGTCACGTGTGTGAAGTCACTTGTCACCTGTGTGAAGCTATCTGTCATCTGTGTGAGGTCACTGTGTGAGGTCACCCATGTGAGGTCACCTGTGTGAGGTCACTCTGTGAAGTCACCTGTGTAAGGTCACCTGTGTGATGTCATGTGTGTGAAGTCACCCGTGTGAGGTCACCTGTGTGAGGTCACTGTGTGAAGTCACCAATGTGGGGTCACTGTGTGAGGTCACTGTGTGAGGTCACTGTGTGAGGTCACTGTGTGAAGTCACCTGTCACCTGTGTGAGGAGGGGGACAAGGCTGCTCAATTTCTCAGACACCTCAGAGATGCAAACCAACCCTAGCGGGTCTTCAGGGGGACACCCCGACCCCCTGCCCGTGTTTCGCTGTCCCTATGACAGCAGGTAGGACGGACACCCCAATATCCTGGTGTCCTGACCCCCCGCCTGTCTGGGGGTCCCCCTGTCTGGGGTCCGCACACCTGAGAACCTGGGTGTCCCCAGCAGAGTGGTCAGGACCACGGTCACCACCCCACTGTCACTGGACGGGGCCATGGGGCTGAGGACAGGACCAGGTGACAAGTAGGTAGACCAAGGCCACGAAAAGCCACCGCCATTCTGTGACCACCAGAGACCCTGGGGCTACCGTCTGCAGAGCTGGTGGCCGGCACAGGTGACAATGGCCATCTGTGTCTGGATGTAGTCAGGTGGAGGTGGCAGCTGGTGGCCCTGGGACAGGAAGGTGGGGTTGGGGTTTCTTGTGACCAGAGGGGAAGATGGCAACCAGGGGACAAGTGACAGTCCCCAGTCCTTTGTCCCATCCTGTCCTGCTTCCTGGCACCTGTGTCCCTCACCTGTGACAGGGCAGGACCGGTGTCCACCTCGGCTCCGGGTCCTCGCTGACCCCCGGCTCTTCTTCCGCCAGGTGTCCCCAAGGACAGCCATGGCCACCTCGCCGTGACCCTGGGCCTGGTGGTGGGGACAGTGGCCATGTGCACCGGGGTCCTGCTGCTCCTCTGCAAAAGGTGACTTCCGTCCTTTCTGAAAGTGTCACACTCGGCGCCGGGAGACCCCCGGGGCTGAGGGCGTAAATTTATGCCCAGAGCAGGCTCAGGGTCACGGAGAGGTCAAGGTCAAGGTCAAGGTCAGGATGGGCTGGCCATAGGCTTGGGGTCACCTTGGGGTGATGAGAGTGTTCTGGGTGGAGGTGGGGACAGAAGTGACAAAGACACAGACAGAGGGACAGAGAGAGGTAAGAAGGAAGGGGAGAGAGACAAAGGAAAAGGCAGGAAGAGAGGAAGATGGATGGAGAGAGGGAGAGAGGAGAGAGCGAGGAAGAGAGAAAGGAAAAGAGGAGAGAGACAAAGAGAGAGAGCAGAAAGAGAGAGGAGAGAGAGAGGCGGAGAGAGAAAGAAGGTAGGGAAAAGGAGGAGAAGAGAAAGACAGAGAGAGAGAGACTAATGGAGAGAGAGAGAGCGAGGAGACAAAGAGAGACAGAGAGAGGAGGAGAAGACGGTGGAGGAGGAAGAAAAGAAATAGAGCGAGGAAAGGAGCGAGGGTTGATTTTCCGTTCCGTGCAAGGCATCCCCATTTTTAATTTTTTTTAAATAAATTTAAGACTCGCTGTTTCTTTCACCCTGCAATTCCGCGATTCCCCGCTGGGGGCGCTGTGGAGCCGCCGGGACGCCTGTCACCACCTGGGGACACAGGGCGGTGACCTGGTGATCTGTGTCCTTGGGGGGGGGAACACAGCATGGTGACTTGGGCATGGGGTCCCCACCTGGGGACACAGCACCGTGACCCCACCTGGGGACACAAATGGGGACCAGCTGCAGGATTTGCAGGACTTTCCTTCACCCCAAGCCACCTGGGCAAGAGGGGGCTCACCTGGACACAGCTTGACCCCAGACTCCCAGGACACAGAAAGGATGAGCTTCCAGGTGACCCTGGCAACAGCCCCTCCCCACCTTTGCACAGGAGAAACTGAGGCCCAGACAGGTGTCACTGAGTCCCAGGACAGACAGAGGCTTTGCCTGGACCCAGGACACCCGGGCTCCACCCGCCCTCTGTGACACGCTCCCTGGTCACCTGTGTGTGCTCAGCACGGATGACACCAGAGTGTCCCCACATCCCGGGGTCCCCAGAGAGTCCTGGGTGGCTTGGCTGGGTGGCTGGTCGCAGGTGCAGCTAGGACTGACAGCTCCCCAGCTCCATTAGTGGGTGACACACCCCAAAACCCACAGCACCCGCCATAGTCCTGGGTGGGGCTCTGGGTTCCTGTGGCCACACACACCCAATGTCCCCAGGTCACCATCTTCCACCTGTTGTCGCAATGTGTCCGAGGAGGCAGTCACCCCAAAACCATGTCCAGAGGGACCAGGGCTGTCACCTCCTCTCTTCTGTCCCCAGGTGTGCACTGAGGAGAAAGCTGTTTCCAAATATCCCGCAGGTGAAAGGTGACTTTTCCACCATCTTTATCTCAAACCAGGAGGTGAGTGCATGCACCCCAATCCCTCATCCATTCCCAAGTGAGGGAAATGGGGTGTCTGGGCAGATGGGAGCCGGACAGGGACTCTGTGTCACATTTGAACTGTTCAAGTGTCCCTGCTTGGTCGCCTGCTTTGGAAAATCCCATAGGTTTCCAAGGTCCTCAGGTAACAAAGAAGCTGCATGTGCCCTGCCCTTGCTGGAAGTCTCCACCTGGATTTGGGGGTCCTTCATTTTGCCTTTCCTGGACAATAGTGGACTCATCTAGCCAAAATCCCCAAGTCCACTTTCTATCGTGCCATTGGGTGACTTAAAGCAAAGGACACTTTAATCACCATCCTAAAGACTGAAAGTCAGACACCAAGGACTCTGTAGGATTTCATCCCCGTCAAAGGCTATATGGAATGGCCAGGGGTTAAATCATGACCCCTAAATTTCTATGTTGACTCTCTGAGCCCCAGGACCCCGGAATAGGGCTGATTTGGAGACGGGGTCTTTAAACAGGTGACTCAGGTGCAATGAGGTCACAGGGTGGCCCTAGTCCAGCACGACTGGGTCCTTATAAGAGGAGGACATGAGGACACAGATGCCTAAAAGCCCTTAATTCCATCTGAAAAGATCCCATTGCCAAATGGGGGCGTCCTGCAAGTTTGAGTCTTCAGGGTCCAGTATTTCCTGATGGATGTGACCGAACGCCAGTCGTCCAGCAGTGTTTTAGCCTGTGCTGGGCTTCGTTCTTCATGGCTGCGTAATATTCTACTCCGTGGCTCTGTTTAGTCCATCTGTCTGTGAACCCTCGATTGTATTTTCCCTATCTTTTCGGTGTTTGAATGCCGCTGGTGTTTGTGGAATTTGTTGGTAGGACACCTGGGGCGTCACCACCTGCTGACTGTCTCACCTGTGTGAATTCTTGCCTCTGTCAGGTCACCTGGGCGCACACCTGTCCTCCAGCCGAGCCCCGGGAAGCCGAGGACATCCTCACGGTGCAGGACACATCGTAATTTCAGACAACTCTTGCCCTTTATCCTGGGCCCAGTAAAAAGATATGGGGAATTTTTAAAAGTCAGGCAGTGAATTGTGCATTATTGATAATAGTGTGAAAATACCAATGCCTTAAGAAAACAGAAACCGTAGTTAATACTTGTTCTGATCCAGCAGATTTGACCCAAAAGCCGTGAAAGGTGGATACTATCGAAAAACACAAAATATTCCTCCACGGATTTGTTTTCACGTGGTGGTGGAGGCTCGGCCTGTAGTCCCAGCATTTGGGAGGTTGAGGGAGAACTCTGGGAGGTGACGGGGTCATGGGGTGGAGCCCCATGGATGGGGTCATTGACCTTATTTATAAAGACCCCAGAGAGCTCCCTGCCCTTTCACCATGGAGGACACAGCGAGAGGCCACCATCTATGGACAGGAAGCAGCTGTCACCAGCATGGCGTCTGTCACGCCTTGACCTTGGACTCCAGCCTCCAGGATTTGACCTTGTGGAACTTGAAATCATTGACCTCACAGTAGGTTCTGGAAGGGAATGCATGGGGTGCAGAATGGGAGATTGGGTTTTGCAAGCTGTGGACACGGAGCAAAAAAAAAAAAAATGACAATGAACCCCATTCCTTTGTGCCACGGATTTGTGTTAACCCAAAGTAAAACTTCAAACATTTTGCAAAAAAAAAAAAAATCTATTAAGAAATGCATGTTTTCTAAGACGGATTTTAATTTCAAAATATTTGCTCCGGCAAAGTGGAGATAAGCAGACCGTATCATCGAGCGACTTTCAAAACACTTCCTGTGCATCAGAGGAAAAAAGACATCTTTGCCCAAGTAGCCATGGGGTGGCCATGTGGATGTGGGGACCCGGTGGCCAAGACACAGGAACCATGGTGAGATCCTGAGAAGGACCCTACCAGGTGTCACCTGTGATAACCACAGTGACGCCCAGATCACCGGGCAGGGAACGGGGACTTCTGGGCACAGAGATGAGGTTTTCCGGAAAACAGAAATTGTCCAGATCCAGGAATAATCTCGGAGAAAATACAGATTTCAACTAAAGTCAGAACCTAGGAACTTAGGCCAGGTTGGGGACACCATGGGATCGCTAAGTGCTGGCTTCCTGGGGTTATGGGGAAAAGGATATAGGATAGGTCTCAGAGGTCAAGAACCAAGTTCATGGGAAGAAAAAGGAAGAATGTCATTGTCACAGGAATGTCATGGTCACTGTGAAAAAGTACTCCAGAATGGGGACTTAAAAGTCCAGGGGTTCACCCGTCCCAACCACGGACACAACTGTGACGTCTGGGTGTGGAAGGGCCTCTGCCTTCATAGAGTCCAGGACGGGATCCGTCCATCTGCAAAGATCCTATTTCCAAATGGGGTCCCAGGCTCAGGTCCCAGGTGACACAGCTTCTGGAAAAGTCACCATTCCCCTCAGTTCTATGGCGCTTGACCATATTCCAATATGGCGGCCTGGCCCAATGGAGTGGGTGACACAGCTGGTCCAGGACGACCTCATGTCACGATCCCAATTCCACCTGCAAAGACCCTATTCCCCAGTGAGGTCCTGCTGTCAGGTTCTGGGCGGACTTGACTTTTGAGGGACATAGTTCAACCCAGGACAGCGGAATACGGATTTTTTTGGGGGGTGACACCATTCACCCAGTGAAGCTACTGAAAGGCCACGTGTTCCTGGGGCAGCACAAAATTACAGAATGCGTTCAAGTGTCACGGACACTGAGTCAATATGGTCACCATTGGCCATAAGCACCCCAAAAGGCCAACTGCCCAGTAGAGCATCTGCTGAGGTCATGGGGAAAGGTGGGGATTGCAGGGCACCCCCAGATCCAGCACCGTCCAGAGGAAGCCATGCAAGCCAGAGTCCTGGGGACAGGACTTCAATAGGACATCGAGGCAGCCATTGCTGTGGCCTTGACAGCCTCCTCAATGTCATCATGGGGTCATAGAGAAATTCCCCAACATCACAGCTATGGCACCCCTGGAGGAGGTCCCCCACTGTCCTGTCCACCGGGTATGGGGACATTCCCCAGACGCCGGGGGTCAACGGCAGTGCAGAGGCTGTGGCCACAGGTGTTTTTGTCGGGAAAGTTGATCTCGGAAGCCCCTCGTTCAGGGGGATCCCATGGGGTCACAGAGCCCAGGTGTATCTGAGCCAGAGGTCAAGGTCAGCTTCCAGCCACAAACTGTGCCCACGGGTCCAGGGATCATTCTCTACATAATGGCAGAGCCTATGGGGTGTCTCTCATGGCCCTAGATGCAATGGCGGTGTCCCTAGAAGAGACAGGAGAGGGGACACAGACACAGAGGAGAAGCCACGTAAGATGGCGGCAGAGGCTGGAGCAATGGGGCCACGAGCCAATGGATGCTGCAGTCCCAGGAGCTGGAAGAGGTCATGGGACCTGAGCATGGGACCTCATTTGGAAATAGGGTCTTTGCAGGTGGAATTAAGTGAGGGATCTGGAGATAAGGTCATCCTGGACCAGCTGTGTCACCCATGCCATTGGGCCAGGCCGCCATATTGGAATAAGGTCAAGTCCCATAGAACTGAGGTGAATGGTGTCTCTTCCAAAAATGGTGTCACCTGGGAGCTGAGCGTGGGACCCCATTTGGAAATAGGGTCTTTGCAGGGAGAATGAAGGGTCTTGAGATGAGGTCACCCTGGACGAGGGTGGCCCTAGATGCAATGGCAGTGTCCTCACAAGAGATAGAAAGGGACACAGACACAGAGGAGAAGCCTCGTGAAGATGGAGGCAGAGACTGGAATGATGGGGCCACAAACCAAGGGACACTTGGAGCCCCAGGAGCTGGAAGAGGGGAAAAGGATGGTCCCTATATCATCTGTCAGGTTTGCATAGCAAAGTCCATGAGGTCACTCCAGCCACCAGACAGCGGGGGCTGAAGTCAGAGCTCTCAAGTTTGACCTGAGGTATTCACTTCTTACCTGTCCCAGGGACAGGTGTCCCCAGCCTGGGACACATACATGACACCTGCAGTGATCCAGGCCACATCTACCCACCTGGCCGTGTGAACCTCTCCACTGTCCTGCGGGACGGGACGATTTCTCATTCTTGAAACCACAGCAAAAAAATCATTTAATTCGCAGCCCCTCGAGGGCAGCACAGCTAAGTGTCATTGGTCTTATTTGTACACCAACCTCTACCGTCACAGGGTCGCATAGGTGAATTCAGACACCACCTGCTGGATTTGTGAATCAGGACAAGCCTGTGGCCTCCTACAGACATGACCGACTGATGACCGTCAAAAGAAAACCTCTCTCTCTCTCTCTCTCTCTCTCTCTCTCTCTCTCTCTCTCTCTCTCTCTCTCTCTCTCTCTCCCTCTCTCTCCCTCTCTCTCCCTTTCTCTTCAATACCCCCAAGCTTGCTCAGGGGACATCCAGTACAGGTGCCTGCAACACCGTGGCCAAAGGGCTCTCTTTTGGGGTGTCCCCCTCCGCCCGGCCATACACACACACACAGAGCCCAGCTGCAGCCTCAGTTCAGTCACGGTCCCTTCCCGTTTCCTCCTTTCTGTTCCTCGTGATGTTCCCAACATGCGCACACCCGTGACCCGCCAAGGCCACCACCCCGTCCTGCAGGGTCACAGCCGACCCCGTTGTCTTGCTTCCACCCTAAGCAGTGGCCAGAGGGGTTTTGGTAAATAATTGAAACCCCCTTCCCCTTCCTGCAGGACTCAACGGGGTGTCTGAACGGGAGGTGAATTAATTGCATCCTATCAAGGTCACGAACGCAACATTGTATCAAAGCGAGTGACGTCATTGCAACATTGTATCCTTTTCCGGGCCACTGTTGCCCTGGCAACCTGACGTGCAGAGGGCCTCCGAGTCACCTGTGCGCATCCCTGCATCCGCGGTCCCCCAAAGTCACTGCTAGCTCAGTGTCAGCGACCGTGTCCCCAGCAGGTGCACACCTGCCACCCATCAGGGCCACCAGTTCTCCGTCCAGAGCCAAAGGTGACCCCCTCGCTCCCTCCCTTCCACTCCCAGGCAGGGGCTTCGAGCCTCATCTGGGTTTCTGCAAAAAAAAAAAAAAAAAAATTATTTTTAAAATTGCTTAGCGGTTGAGAAAGACCGGGAAAAGGTCAAGGTCGCAACATTGCATCCTTTTGTTACACGCGTTGCCATGGCAACCTCAGTTCCCGCGATCTCTCATACACCGGTGATCCTCTGCACATCACTGCTGGTACCTTGTCAATGACCTTGACCTTGACCTTGACCCACAAGCCTGCGCTCTTCCCTCACCCCATGGGCCTTTTTTTTTTTTTTGGGTGGGGAGGGTTAGGGGTACCAGGGTGTCTGTCTTTCCTGACTGCCAGCTGTCATTCCTAGGTTGGTTGTCTCAGTTTGGGGCCAGGGGAACATTGGTGGCTCAGGTTCCCACACCCCGGTCACCCCACAGTGCTGCAGTGGCCAGGAAGATTTGGGGGACTCGGGGAATTGTCTCTGTGTGTGCTGGGCACGGGACACGGGCAGGGACGTGGGTCTTGCTTCCGGACTTTGCTCTTGAGTGCTGAATACTGGGTCTGGGGTTTTCCCTTATTGAAATTGGGGCGCGTCTGGCTCCCAGCTTAGCTTTGACTTCCCAGTCTGTAAATTGGGGAACGGGTCCTTGGCCACATCTGCCACCTGGGGTGCTTTGTAAGAGTGGACTCGGAGGGTGACAGATGTGGGCCCCCCCATGGCTGGGCACCCCATCTTTCTCTTCCGCCGGGATGATAGACCACGTAGCTGACTGATCCCAAAAGCAAAGGGCACTGGTGTCCTCGTGGCCCTGGTCCTTGTCATGGAGAAGTGAGGGACACTGGGGGTCCACTGCACCCCAATGTGGAGGGTTTAGTCCAGTTGATAATGGCTGTGTCTTTGGGGTCCTTAGTGGTGAAGTCCACATGTAGGACGCAGCCCTGTCCCCCAGACAAAAGGCATGTGTGAAGCCAGAGGGGGACACTTTGCATCTGAGATGTCCCCAAAGGCTCCCACATGGAAGGTGTTGTCCCCAAGGCAGCAGTGTCATGGAGTGAATTTGTCCATCGATGGACCCACGGAGGAATGGATTGACCCATTGATGGAGTCATAGATTAATGGATTGACCCATTGATGGAGTCATAGATTAATGGACTGACCCATCGATGGACCCATGGAGGAATGGACTGACCCATTGATGGACGCATAGCTTAATGAGCTACTGGTAGGAAGTCAGGTCCCTGGGGATGTGACCTTGAATGGGATATTAGGACCCCAATTCTCCTCCTCCTCCTCCCCTTCTTGTTCTCTCTCTCTCTCTCTCTCTCTCCCCCTCTCTTTCTCCCTCCCTCCCTCTCCATCTCTCTCTTCCCAAGGGGAGGACGTGACATAACGAACTTTCCTTTCTGCCTTTCCTTCCTTCCTACTTCTTTCCCTCCTCCCTCCCATCTTCCTTGATGGCTGGCCATTATTTTCGGAAACATAGAGTGGATTTGGGACACCAACATTTTAGGGGTGCTACAGTGTCTGGTTCAGAGACCCCAGGGCCAGGAGAGGATGAATTTGTGTCATGTCAGACCCACAGCTTGGTGGCTTTGGGACAGTCACACAGCCACCACCTGCCAAGCACCATGTGTCCTGGTGACTGAGCAGCTGCTGTTGGAGACAAAAGCTCTGGATCCTCCTATCAAAAGGGCCAGGTCCCCTGTCCTCCCGTTCTTCCTGCAGGACAACGCACAACTTAATAAATAATAATGGAATTAAAGCCAGGGTCCCATGGCGTCGTTGTAGACTTGTGCTGGAGGACGGCCTCCAGTGACGGACTCCACGGTTGTCTGGATGCATTCACGGCTGGACCAGGGCTGGGTGGGTCACTCGGTGGTCCCTGTAGACAGAGGTCAGTTAACGGCCAGGGATCCGACGCGCATTTCCCAGGCAGGCCAGGGGACAGGGCAGAGCTGCAGGGGGACAAAGAGGAACCGGAGGTTGTAGGGGAGGGGTCAGGATGGGCCTGGGCAGGAAATAAGGACCCAAGCGAATTTACGACATGACCCTGTTACAACACCCACCGGCTTCCAGCCACGGCCCGAATGCTCTGATAAGGAGGTGACATCTCTGGCTGCACAGAGACCTCACTTCCAGGAAATGGCGGAAGTGACTTCTGGTCTTTCCCGTCTTCCAGGACAGGGTCCTTCCTGCCTCTTCCAGCTCCTGGGGTCCAGCTGTGCTTGGCTCCTGGCCCCATCACTCCAGTCCCTGCCTCCATCTTCACACGGCGTCTCCTCTGTGTCTGTGTCCCCTTCTGTCTCTTGTAAGGACACTGTCACTGCGTCTAGGGCCACCCTCGTCCAGGATGGCCTCATCTCAAGACCCTTAATCCCATCTGCAAAGACCCTACTTCCAAGTGAGGTCCCATTCTCAGGTCCCAGGTGACACAGCTTTGGAAATGTCACCATTGCCCTCAGTTCTATGGACTTGACCATATTCCAATATGGCGACCTGGCCCAATGGACTGGGTGACACAGCTGCTCCAGGATGGCCTCATCTCAAGACACCTAATCCCATCTGCAAAGACCCTATTTCCAAGTGAGGTCCCATTCTCAGGTCCCAGGTGACACAGCTTTGGAAAAGTCACCATTCCCCTCAGTTCTATGGGACTTGACCTTATTCCAATATGGCGGCCTGGCCCAATGGCGTGGGTCCAAGGTGACCTGATCTCAAGACCCTTCATTCCATCTGCAAAGACCCTATTTCCAAACCTGGTCATCCTGAAAGACCCTGGATGGACATAATGTTTGGGGGATCTTTTGGGGTGGGGGAGCCACCCCACTCACCCAGTGCTGGGATGGGAGCCAAGTCCCAGACAAAGTGCCCTTGGCTTGGACTTAGGGGATTGATCCCAAAAGGGAGAAATAAGACAAACAACCCTAGAACCGAGCAGAGTGTGTAGGACCAACTTTGCTGACAAAGTGACAAGATAAAATCCTCTTTGCAGAACAAGTTGGGGGACCACAGGTTGTACTTGAACCTATGTGATCTGTGTCACCCCCTCCTCCCCGACCTTGTGTCCCCAAAGGGGACTCTTCTGATGGCAGCAAAGGGAACACGCCCCGGAGCCCGCCAGGCGGCCATGGTCGTGCTTCTCTGAGGGATTTACTATGGGAGGAAGTTGCACAACCCCGGGTCAATGCACTAATTATAATTTACACCGCAGCGGACGCAGCTGCACAAAGACATTTGGGAAGGGAACAGGGCTCAAGCCAAGGAAAGACCCTGCAGCCATCTTGGAAGCCCTGCACCTTCTCAGCCCCCCCAGGAACCCCAAGCCAGGGAGCACCAAGGGGACTTTTTTTTTGGAGGGGGGATCTCTGACCACCCCACCCCATCTTCGGATCGAGCTGGACACTCATTGGACCGCAGTTTAGGGGTGGGGCCCCACCTGGAAGTCATAAAAGGTCTGAAGGAGGAGACCAAGGCTCAGTTTCTCTTTGGGGACGAGCCTTCCAGTAAAGGAGAAAAAGAAAAGGCAAAGACTCTGGACTTTTGGGGACCTGGTGGCCTCCGTGTTGTAGGACTGGAGTTGGACCTGGGGTAAGTCATCCCTGAAAGGGGGGATGAGGGAGGGGAGGCAGGGAGTAGAGGACTCCGGCCACGAGTGACCACAGGACATTTGCACAAAGCCAGGGTGAGTTGAGATAAGCCAAGTGCGGGCATTGAAGTGCGAGGGACGGTGTCTTCTGGGTCACCTTGTGGCTCGTCTGTGGAGTGCTGCTACCATTTAAGGAATATGGGTTCCATAAATTATAGGATTACTTATAGGATTTAAGCATTTTTTCGACATGTTAATATGGCCATGTGGCTTGGCTCCTGGGTCCATTAGGTGACTCAAGTGCAGCCCAGGCCAGGGGTTGATGTCCAGGAGTTCCTTGAGTTTGGGGTTGAAGACCTTGCCTTGTGACAGTGTGTACTAGATTGTCAAAAGCAAGTGACACACAGAATGTCCCCTGGGTCTCCGCACAGGATAAACGAAATATCACCATAGCTAAAAGGTGGACAGACTCCAAAAATGTCCGTCAGCAGACTAGAGGGAGAAAGAAAGCGTGGTCTGTGCGCACGGTGGAATATTACGCGGCCCCGAAAAGGGGCGAAGTCTCCATACGTGCTACAGTGTGGCTGGACTTTGAGGAAATGACACTCAACGACAGAAGCCAGACCCCAAAAAGGCACATAGTGTCTCGTTCCATTTGAGGGAAATGCCCAGAGTGGGCAAATCCACACAGAAAACTCGGGGTTGCCAGAGAGTGGAGAGTGGACACTGGTAGTGTTGATGGGGTCTCCTTTTGGGGTGCCAAGCGTATATTGGGTGCTCACAGAACCCCACTGCTCCATAGACTCCCCTGTTCCTCCACATGGCTGTGTCGTTCTGGGTTTTTCAATAATACGTTAAAACATTCCTGGTGACAGTAGTTTTGGGGGGTGTAGCTGGGGTGCACAACCTTTAGGGGCACAGGTATATAGTGCACCTGAGGAAAGGGGGTCCCTAAGACAGGTGAAGGTCCAGAGGTGAACCCCAGCCCAGCCAAAAGGACCTGAGATCTTTTGGGGGTTTTTTGGGGGTTGGTTATTTTGGTGGGACTGGGATTTGAACTCAGGGCTGCTTGAGCCACACTGCCAGTCCATTTTGCTCTGTTGATTGTGGAGGTGGGGTGTCTAAAGCTAATTTCCCAGGCTGGCCTCGAACCCTGGTGCTCCCCATCTCAGCCTCCCGAGTGGCTGGGACTACAGGAGTGAGCACCGGTGCCCAGCAGGCTGGGTCCTCGTCATGGCTGCTGTCGCTACCTGTCAGTCACCCGGTGGTCACCACGATGATGATTCGGGGTGCAGACACCTGGGGACCCCCAAACTGACAGCCCAGGGGGACACGGGGAGGAGCTGAGATCCCATATGCCCAGGTTACCGTAAGTCGGACCCATTAGGAAGTCCCCTGTCACCGTGTTAATTAAACTTCCTTCCATTGTGGTGCAGCAGGGCAGGGCTGGCTTCTCCTGCTTCCTGACAGAGAGAGAGAGAGAGAGAGAGAGAGAGAGGGAGACGGAGCCAAGCTGAAGCCACCATGCCCTTCCTGTGGCTCCCTGTGTTCGGGATGCTGGTGACTGGACTGCTGCAAACCCCGAAAGGTAGGCGCTGGGGTGAGGAGGCGGGATCTGTCTCTTGGTGACGTCATCCTAGATTGGCTGTCACTCAAATGGTTAAGTCTGGTCACTGTCACGGGACCTTGACTGGAAATGGGGTCTTTGCAGGCATCGTGGGGACAAGAAGAAAATGGTCAGACTCGAATGTCTGGGTGTCACTCCAATGGGTCACTAGGGACGGGGTGATGTCCCCCACAAAGCCACCTGGAAATCCTGCACCCCAGGACCTGTCCACAGCACCTGGTTTGGAAACTGGGTCTTCCCTTTGGTTGATTTGGCACGGGGTCTCGGTAGGTAGCCAAGGCTGGTCTTGAACTCGCCTTCCTCCTGCCTCAGCCTCCCGAGAGCTGGGATTACAGGTGTGTGATGCCGTGCCTGGGCGGTCTACAGATGATGAAGTCAAAGACAGCCCCAATCCCATATGGCAGGCATCCCTGTAAGAAGGGGGAACTGGCCAGGTAAGGACGCAGGCAGAGGCCAGACCTTAGTTCCAAACGAGGCCCTGTTCTCGGGTCCCAGGTGACACACGTTTTGGAAAGGAACCCATTCACCTCAGTTCTATGGCGCTTGACCATATTCCAATATGGCGGCCTGGCCCAATGGCGTGGGTGACACAGCTGGTCCAGGACGACCTCATCTCAAGACCCCAATTCCATCTGCAGAGACCCTATTTCCAAATGAGGTCCCATGCTCAGGTCCCAGGTGACACATTTATGGAAAAGTCACCATTGCCCTCAGTTCTATGGAACTTGACCATATTCCAATATGGCGGCCTGGCCCAATGGCGTGGGTGACACAGCTGGTCCAGGACGACCTCATCTCAAGACCCCAATTCCATCTGCAAAGACCCTATTTCCAAATGAGGTCCCATGCTCAGGTCCCAGGTGACACATTTATGGAAAAGTCACCATTGCCCTCAGTTCTATGGATCTTGACCTTATTCCAATATGGCGGCCTGGCCCAATGGAGCGGGTCATGGATGACCTCATTTCAAGACCCTCAATTCCTTCTACAAAGACCCTATATATTTTGGGGGCACAATGCAGCCCAGTGTTCATGGTCCCCCATGTTCCTACTCAGCGACCTGCAGTCCCTTGTCCCTTGTCTTGGTGGGAAAAACCCATATAACTGGCCCCATTGCATTGTCTAGAACCCAAGGACAGATCCATGACCACCAGAGGGTTTTGGGGGAATGCCCTCCACTTCTTAGGGTCCCCCAAGTCCCCTCCAGTATCCCCATTCTTGATCCAAGTCTTGGCTTTGACCCCATCTTGTCCTGGGACACAGGCTAATGTCACTTGAAGGGTCACTCGTGGCTGTGGTCACTGTAGGATTGCTGACCATAGGCCGGAAGTGGGTCTATTTGTAGGGTGGTTGGACAGGAAGCTGTCGCACACTTTCCCCTTTGGGGTCCCCCATAGCTGGATTTTGGGTCACATGGGGTCCTTGGGGGGGGCTGGGCTGGATTTTGCTGGGTGTCCAGCAGCGGACATCCTTCCTGCTTGGTCGGATGTGGCCTGTCACCCACTGCCAGTTCCCAGCAACTTTAGTTCCTGCGAAATTCCGGGTAATGTCTAAAAATAGCGGGTTTCTCTATTTTCCCCTTTCTCTGTATTTTTTTGGGGTGGGAAAGGAGACGTGGACACCATGCTTACTGGGTTTTCTTTTTTTTTTGGCTTCGGTGATTTTGGGGGATAGGGCTTTTTTTTTTTCCCCTCCCGCCTAGGGCTGACCTCAAACTGTGATCCTCCTACCTAGGCCCCCTGCGGGGATGGGATTGCAGACATGACCCACGATGCCTGGCTCGTTGGTTGAGATGGGGTCTCCGTGCCCAAACTGGCCTCACCCTGCAATCCTCCACACTTGTGCCTCCCGGGCAGCTGGGATTACAGGCGTGAGGCACCACGCCTGGCTAGGAGACGCGGGGTTTTGTTGTTGCTGTTTTAAGGAATAAATTATCCCTATTACTGAAGATCATTTAATGCCAGAAATCGAGCGATGGATGTCAGTTGAGGTCTTGCTTAATGACAGACTTGATTTTGATAAGGAATGGCACGAAATAGACGGTTTATTAACAGCTTTTTTCTCCGGTTGTCTAAGCTGGGGACCACAGATAAAGCCTGAGATTTCAGATAATGGGTGTTGTTGGTGTTCTTATTTTTAATTTAATTTAATTTAATTTTTTTATTTTCTCAGTGCTGAGCTTTCAATTAAATTCTACTGGAATTTTTTTTTCGGCGGTACTGGGATTTGAACTCAGGGATTTGCACTTACAAGGCAGGGTGTGACCACTTGAGCCATAATCCCTGCCCTTTTTTTTTTTTTTAAATTTTTTTGCTTTCAGGGTATTTTTTTCAAATAAGCGCTCGCTTTTATGATCAGGGCACCGTCAACGGCGATCCCTTCATTTCTCCTCATGTGGCTGGGATTACAGCCACGCCCCACGAGGCCCGGCCCTGCACACCTAAGTGTGGTCTCTAAACGTTTCAGATGCGAAGCCCCCCATCACGAACTTGAGGATGGAACCCAAGTATAAAAGACTGACTTGGGAGCTGAGCGGGAATGTCTCTGACGTTTGGTGCCTTAAAGGTGGCACGCACAAGAAACGGGTGAGCCATGTTCCCTGCGTACCCCGGCCCTGCCCTACTACCCGAGAATCAATGGACCCAAGGGGCGAGGCCCTGTCTGGTGCTTCCCCCCCCGTAGCTGGGATTACAGCTATGCCCTCCCGCGCACACACCCGGCCGTTAGTTCAGATGGGGTCTCGTGAACTTTTCTCCCAGGCTCCCCTGAAGACACCGTCCTCGCAATCCCAGTAGCTGGGATTACAGGCGTGAGCCACCATGTCGATCGACGTGGTCGAGATGGGGGGGGTCCCCAGAACTACGTCCCCAGGCTGGCTTTCCAAGGGGCCGGGATTACAGGCGTCAGCCACCAAGCCCGGCACTCCAGTTATTCTCCAACGGAGTTTAATCTGAATAGTATTCACAACAGGTCGGACTGGACCCGTTGTCCCCACAAGCACCGTGTCCTTTCGTGTCCCCCAGGCAAACGACAACAGGTACTGTCAATACCTCACGCTGTCCCTCTGCAAAGTGACAAATTACACCGTCCAAGTTGGCCACCCGCCGTTCTCAGCCTGGATCCTCTTCCCTGAACCCGGTGAGGCAAAATTCTCATTTCCTGTCACTTTGGGTTTTTTTTTTTTTTCATCAGCACCCTGACTTCTGCAGGTCCTGAAAATGGTTGGATTAATCTCCAGGGATGTACAATGACTTACAAAACACACAACAACCCTAGAGAGTGTGACACTCACTGCGATGTCATTTAGATGACTTTTGGTCCCATAAACTAGCTCAGGCTGCCCTTGAACTCGCCATCCCCCCCGCTTCAGCCTCTGCACGAGGGCTGGGATTACAGGCGTGCGCGACGGGCCCTTCTAGGAATGTCAAGATGGCGGAAATAGACAGACAGATGGAGGTTTGGCTGAGGTCACCAAGCCATGCCAGGCACCACGGGAAACGGCTGTAGGATGCAGACAGCCTCACCTCTGAGCTTTTGTGGGATTGGGTTGGGACATCATAGTTGATAGATGGGACTAGGGTTTTGCTACTTGTAGCCATTGCACTAGGGTTTTGCAAAGTGTCACCAATGCATTATGGCTTTGCAAACTGTCGCCATTGCACTAGGACCTTGCAAAGTGTCACCAATGCATGACTTTGCAAAGTGTCACCATTGCAGTATGGTTTTGCACGTGTCACCATTGCACTAGGACTTTGCATCGTGTCACCACTGCACTAGAGTTTTGCAAAGTGTCACCAATGCATTATGGCTTTGCTAACTGTCGCCATTGCACTAGGACCTTCCAAAGTGTCACCAATGCATGACTTTGCAAAGTGTCACCACTGCACTAGGATTTGCAAAGTGTCACCAATGCATTATGGCTTTGCATCGTGTCACCATTGGCAGGGGGACACCTGGGCAAAGGGCCCATGGGGTCTCTAAGAGCAGGTGCACCCACAGTGACCTTGAAACGTGACTCGGTTTCCCTCCATCTCTGCAAGCCCAGATAAGAACCCGGAGGCGGCAGCTGCAAACCTGAGCTGCAGGGTGCACGACGTAGACTTTGTCACCTGTCACTGGGCCGTGGGCAAGGTGGCCTCCGGCGACAGTGTCCAGTACCAGCTTTTCTGGATGGACAAGTATGTGTGCCAAGTCCACTTCCAGGGAAGGGGGGGGTGGCTGCTCACTGACCCCCAAAATCTTGTCACCTGTCACAGGGACAATATGGAGCACGAGTGTCCACGTTACAGCAAGAATGAGCACGGGGTGCATGTCCAGTGTCATTTTTACAATGTCACGAAGTATCCCCAGAGTTTCAAGGTCATGGTGAGGGGGATCAGCCAAGGGCACACCGTCTCCTGCACACAGTTCCACCAAAATATGAACTACTACGGTAAGTGACACCGGGGACACCGACATCGCTGCCACCCCCCAGCCCCGTGCGACGGTCTCAGCTCTGGTTCCAAATGCCAGGCCGGGCAGCTTATGAACAAGAAAGGTTCGTGGGTCCAAGGTCAAGTCCTGGACTCCAAGGTCAAGGTCATAGGCTGGGAGTCCAAGGTCAAAGTGTGACAGACGCCATGTCTGGTGACAGAAGCTTCCTGCTCCACGGATGGCTCCTCCTTGCTGTGTCCTCCATGGTGGAAGGGCAGGGGGCTCTCTGGGGTCTGTTAGAAATAAGGACACCGACCCCATCCATGGGGCTCCACCCCGTGACCCCGTCACCTCCCAGAGTCCCCACCTCCCAGCACCGCCATTTGGAGGTGAGGATTCAACATGAGAATTTGGGGGACAAAACATTGTAGTCACGCCTCAGCCTCTGCATGGCTTCTCCTCCGTGTCTGTGTCTCCTCTTCTGTCACTTATAGGGACACTGCCACTGCATTTAGGGCCAAGCTCACCCAGGATGGCCTCATCTCAGGACCTAAATCCCAACTGCAGAGACCCTACTTCCAATGAGGCCCATTCGAAGGAAGCAAGCAGGGCTACCCTTGGGGGCCCCACTCAGCCCAGAGAAGCAAGAACAGGAAACAGGACAGGACCCTTCCATCCGCAAAGACCCTATTTCCAAATGTGGCCCCATCCCCAGGTCCCAGGTGACACAGCTTTGGAAAAGTCACCATTGCCCTCAGTTCTATGGAACTTGACCTTATTCCAATATGGCGGCCTGGCCCAATGGAGTGGGTGACACAGCTGGTCCAGGTGACCTCATCTCACGATCCCAATTCCACCTGCAAAGACCCTATTTCCAAATGGGGTCCCACGCTCAGGCCCCAGGTGACACAGCTTTTGGAAAAGTCACCATTGCCCTCAGTTCTATGGATCTTGACCATATTCCAATATGGCGGCCTGGCCCAATGGCGTGGGTGACACAGCTGCTCCAGGACGACCTCACTCAGGATCCCACTTGCATCTGCAAACAGGATGGAATTTTTTGACACAGGGTCATGAGGCTTTTGGTGGATGGGAATTTTGGGGCACAGTTAACCCCATACACAGCTCTTTCCAGAAGCGGCTGCCTGTGTCCCCTGGCCTGTGTCTGTGTCCCTTTTTAGGGCTGCTTTCCCATTCCTGCCCATTGTCCTCCTGTCTGGGGCAGGGCTGACGTCTGGCCAGGTCACCCTGTCCGCAGGGGACATGAGAGGTGGGGAGCCCCACGTAGTGAATGACCAAGCCAGGACTAACACGGATGGCAGGAAAAGAAGGGGTTTACGCATCTTTCCTGAGCTGGAAGGCAAGGTGGCTTCTTAGGGTCGTGTGAGGACAGACAGATGGACAGAAAGGTACCTCAAAAAGGAACTCGGAGAGCTGGGTGGGGAGCAAAACCCGGATGGACAGAGGGAAGGGACGAATATAGGGAGGAGGAGATGGAGGAGGAGGAGGAGATGGAGGAGGAGGAGGAGGAGATGGAGGAGGAGGAGGAGATGGAGGAGGAGGAGGAGGAGATGGAGGAGGAGATGGAGGAGGAGATGGAGGAGATGGAGGAGGAGGAGATGGAGGAGGAGGAGGAGATGGAGGAGGAGGAGATGGAGGAGGAGATGGAGGAGATGGAGGAGGAGGAGGAGGAGGAGGAGGAGGAGGAGATGGAGGAGGAGATGGAGGAGGAGGAGATGGAGGAGATGGAGGAGGAGGAGGAGGCAGGTGACACACCCCAGGGTTCCCTTTTTTGGTCCCAGGTGTCCTGTGGAGGTGACTGGACACTCTGGGCTCCCACACCTGTCACCCTCCAGCTGTGCAGATATGTCTGGTGTCACCAGAACTGGGGACACCTGGTCATGATGGTGGGAACAGAACACCTGCCCTGGAGCCCCATGGTGACCCGTGTTCTGTTGGTGACACCTTGGGGACTTGGGTCATTGACAGTAGGTTTTTCCCTGGTGCAGAGGTGCTAAGTCCACCAAATGTCACCGCAGACTGCAATAAGAGTCACTCCTTCATGATGTGGCAAATGTTCAGCCATTTCACAAAGGACTTCGAGTACGACCTTCACATCCTCAAGGTCAGGCTTTGCTCTGGGAATTGGGGTATTAAAGTTGTAGAATCATAAATCCTACATAAAGCAAATTTGGGGTCCCGGGATGTCACGAGCACCTGCACAAAACCCTGCGCTCCGTTTCCAGTACTTAAAAATATAAGTTTGATAAACCGGACTTCACCAAAATTAACAATATTGGCTATGTGAAAGACCTTCAGCCCAGCATGGTGGCACACGCCTGTAATCCCAGCACTGGGGATTTTGAGGCAGGACGGTCCAGAGTGCATAGGAAGACTTGGTGTCCAAAAAAAGCAAAGAGTATAGAAAAAAACTGACTAACTAGGGACAGAAAAAGAGATTGTTGTTTGCCTGTGAAAAAGATTCCCATTAATGCAAAAAAATAAATGATTGTAAAAAGTAGGATTTTATAGCTAATTTTTTTTTTTTTTGGCAATACTGGGATTTGACATCAGGGCCTTGCACTTGCTAGACAGGCTTTGTAGCAGTCCGTTTTTACTCTGGTTATTTTAGAGATGGGGTCTCTGTAAACTATTTCCTGGGCTGACCTCGAGCCTCAGTCCTCCTAATCTCAGCCTCCCCAGTAGCTGGGATTACAGGTGTGAGTTACCAAGTCCAACCTAAGTGGTATTTTACGCTCAATTATTCCTCTTTAATTATTTGCTATATTAATATACCATTTTTATTTAAATACTGATTACTTTATACTTCCCCCCCCCCAGGAATCGCAATCTGGTAAAAATAAGGTAAATCAATTCTTTTATTTTTGGGGTATTGCTGGGATTTGAACTCATAACTTCATATTTCCTCACCTGAGCCACTCCACCAGCCATTTTTTTTTTTTTTTTTTGGTAATGGCTAATTTCAACATGGGGTCTTACGAACTGTTTCCTGGGCTGGCCTCAAACCTCGAGCCTCCAGGTCTCTGCCTCCTGAGTAGCTGGGATTACAGGCGTGAGCCACAGCGCCTGGTTGACATCGATTATTTTAAATGACCATATAATTTTGAACCATTGGGTCTTTGATTCTATTTTGTTTTCGTCTGACCCCGACTTCTTTCTCCCCCTCCCTGGTTGGGGGGACCAGGCGTAGAGACCTAGCGTGGATTCAAGTCCCGTGTCACACGGTCACCTGTCACCATCCTCTCTTCCTGTTGGCCTCACGTCATCAGCCCATGGCCCCGTGGGTACCTATGGCGACCTCATGGGTAGATATGGGTCTTGCTGGCCAGTGGATCCCATGAGATTCCCGCCTCGGTCACGCTGAAGTGGTCCGGCCAGTCCTCCCACGGCCCCACAGTGGGTGCATATGGCGCCCCGTGGGAAGACACCAGGTCTTGCTGGTCAGGTGGACAGATCCGGCGAGATGTGCGCCATGGGTTTCCCTCGATGGCCCCGCCAATCTGCCCGTGTCCTCCCCGTGGGTACCTCTGGGGGCGTCCTGCTGGTTACCGGGCCTGGCTGGTCAGTGTGGTCCACGACGCGTGTCCTGTGGCCATTGTGAGGTGACCCAAAACATCCATCCAAGGCCCTCTGGGTTGCATATGGCGGCCCCACGGGAAGACCACGGGCCTCGCGGTCAGTGGGTCCCCAGAGGTGTCCGCCGTGACTTCCCAGAACGGGACCAAGCCATTGGCCCACGGCCCCCAGCGGGCGCTCGTGGCGGCCTCACAGGGAGACGCTGCTGGGCCTGGCTGGCCCCGGGGCCGGGTCAAGTGCACCATGGCCGTCGTCCATCGCCTCCCCAGCTCCCGCAGCCCTCCATCCTTGGCAAGGAAGCTGGGGTGCTGTCGGGGGGCCGTCTTTCCCTGGGGAAGTGGGTGCCGGCCTCAGAACCCTGTTTTGCTTTTGTCTTGCAGAACCCCGAAGTCTTCACAGCAAAAGTGAGTGAACCCCATTCCTCGTCCTGGAGTCACAGGTGGTTCCCACTCGACGGGCGCCATGTTTGAGCCTCGGTGATCCTCAGAGTTGGGGTCTCAGCCCCAAATGGAGGGACAAGACTCAGAGGTCATATTGGGGCTTAAGGGGGTCCCCCCTTAGAACAGGGTGCTGTGTCTGAGGTCTGGCTTGGGGTGACCGGGGGCCCCCCGAACCAAGTGGCTTAGGTTGACTGACTCTTGGGTGCGGGGCCGTTGCTCCATCTGCGAACCCCACTCTTAACGAGGACCTCACTGCCATGGGACCAGGGACCCCGTTCCTCTTCATCTGCACTGGTCGTTTTCCAAATGAGGCTCCATGGCGGGGTGGTGGGGGCCCGGACTGAATCTGGGGGGACACGGGTCAGCCCATCACAGGACCCCGCTCTGCCCTCTCCGCCAAATGCATGGCGCTGTCCTTACGTTTTGGGGTCTTTTTAACGGTTCTCACGAAACCCAGGACATCAAAACCGAATTCTACACCCTACCCAACCCCGGAGCCTACACAGTGCAGATCCGCGTCAGGGCAGATCTTCTGAACCTGGCCAGCGCCTGGAGCACCCCGAAAAGGTTCGGTGAGTGACTCCCATTCTGTCACCCTAAAGCGTGCAAGGAAGGCCCTAGGCTGCCCCGGCCACCCCCAGACGCAGACCCCGTGATGTCCGACCGGCTCTCCTAGCTGTTCAATGACCGCCACAGGATGGGGACCTCGTTCTGCTGGACTCTGTGTCCCCAAAAGGCCACTAGGTCCCCACAGTGATCTGAGTCTTGCTTTGCACCCGGGGAAAGGGACAGGGACAATATGGACACCGTGCACCATAATGGGTCTTCCTCGGGCATCCCCCCCCCCCCCCTGTATTCTCCCAGCTGTCATTTGTCCCCAAATTGTGGTAAAACCAGGTCAGGTGGCTGCTGACTCCATGCAGGTGACTCTCCAGGGGTGTCCCAGGTGATTCCGTGACCCCTGTCCCCTGGACGACCCTAAGTGGCCTCTGACGTGACCCCTTCTCTCTCAGTGTGTGACACGGATGAGGATAAGCGCACACGTGTGTGGCGGACAGCTCTGCTGGTGGCCCTGGGGACTCTGGTCATGGCGCTGGGGACATTTTTCTTCTGCAAGAAGTAAGCCACCCCCCCATTACAGGTGTAACCTACCACACCCAGCCAGGCGTTTGAGATGGGGTCTCAGTTAACTTCATGTCCTGGCTAGCTGGCCTCAAGCAGTGGTCCTCCTTATCTCTGCCTCCTCATCCGGGCTAGCTGGGATGATAGGAGCGATTTACCACGCCCGGCCCCAACTTGTGGTCCTCCTTGTATCTGCCTCCTCCTGAGTGGCTGGGACTATAGGTGTGATCCACCATATCTGGCTAAAAATCTTTTTTATATTGTACTAAGTTGTGACACAAGTTTAGCTTTGTTTTTTTTTTTCTTATAAATCTGCCAGGATGCAATCCTGATGACCTCATCTGACTTTAATTTCCCCTGAAACTTGGATTTAAATTCCTGGAGTGTGACAGGCATTAACTTTGGACTTTCTTTATCTGTCAAGATGGGGTCTCTCAACCCCACCATGTTGAAATCCCCATAACTGGTCTGGTCACTGTTGTGGTCCTACCTGGCCCCTTTAAGAGCCGATGGGTGTCCTGCCCAGGTGGGGGACACTGTGTGCCCAGGTGCCAAGCTGGGGATGGCACCCGTGTCCCCGAGATCCCTCCGGCCACCAAGATGGAACTGGCCATGGATGGGGACTCCCTTGATGGGCAGTGTGTTTTCTCCCCCCTGCATCTTCCCGCAGGTGCTCTTTACCTCAGAAGCTGTTCCCCCCGATCCCAAAAATGAAGGACCCCATCGGTGACAACCCTCATGATGATATGGTTTGTATGCTATGGGGACACGGGTGGGGTGACACACGGGGACCCTGCTAACTTTAATGTCCTCCACCACCGTGGCCAGTCATCCTGGTCCCCAAGCCACCAGCCCCGTCTGGGGGGGTGGGGGACGACGACGGACAGACGGACCGAGATCCTGGTGACAGGACAGTCCCCATGATTGACACCAGCCCCCGTTGTCACCACAGATGGCCTGGGAGGCTGCCCAAGATGACTGCCCAGTGACACAATTGCAAATTTTAGCAGAAAAATGAAGCCAGGAGCTCAAGAGTCCCCCGCAGAGGGGACCGACCAGGTCCTGCCCAGTCCAGGGACAGATGGACACTTACAGAAAGACACCAATGTGACTTACATGGAATGATAAAGTCATTGTGCCCAGTGTCACTTGCTACGCCGAATGGTCACTAGTGTCCAGTTGGTGGACCCCAACCTGTCACCTCCCATGACATTCCTGGACTTGTCACATCTTTCCTCGGGTAATTCCTTGTCCCCAAGTGGACACCTGAACAGGTGGACAATTGCAGTCACACTCCTGTCTTGTCCACCACAAGCTGTCCCCTGTCGTCCCCCCCCAGCTATGGTGTCCTGGGAGCAAATTGGGGGAGGGGGAGGTGGTGTGTCAGCACCTTGTTCATTTAATCAGCAGGGAATGGGATTTTGGGGTGTCCCCTCTGTGCACGGAAGGCAAGGGACAGACATGACCTTGCTGTGAAGTCACAGACAGAAATGGCCGGAAGTTCTGACCTGGTAGGATCTGGGCAACTGAGTCACAGAAACATGGATTTGTAGGTGTCGAAGTGACCAAGTGTGATTAAGCAAAGCCATAATTAGCAGGTTAAAATCTAACAGGGCAGAAATGTCCCCATACCCATTCCAGCAGCTACAATGACTTCCCAGGAGGGGGCACTGCGTCGTAAGTTCCCGCTGCAGAGGTCAAGGGGTCATCGTGGGGTGTCCTGGGGACACACAGGGGGATGAGGGGTTCACAGAACCCCCGTGACCCAGAGGACACCTGAGGTCCACTTTGCAAGTATGACATGGGCACACCTCAGTCCCTTGACAAGAAAATTTTTTTGCACAAGCCAGGCATGGTAGGTCACGCCTGTAATCCCAGCTACTTGGGAGGCTGAGGCAGCAGCAACGCTCAGGGGTTCAGTGAGATCCCCTCAACTCCCATGGAGGAGAAAGTGGGGACGTGACTCCCCTGAAACAAGAATCCTAAGTAATGGGTCCCGGGAAGAGGACGAGATTCCATCTGGGAAACCAACACCCTGTGGCATCGGGGGCCCTTGCACCTCCACCGACCTCCCCCAATCGTAGCCTGAAATGTGATGGGCGCCGCGGCGAGATGACCCTACCATGGGGCGTGACAATGGGACGTCTCTTGGAAATAGGGTCTGTGCAGACGGATGTGGTGGCCCTACATGCAGTGGCAGTGTCCTTTTAACAGAAGACACACAGCATTGGGGTCCTGAGGTCGCCTGGAGCAGCTGTGTCACCCACGCCATTGGGCCAGGCCGCCACACTGGAAAATGGTCGAGTCCCACAGAACTGAGGGCAATGGTGACTTTTCTTAAAGACAAGTCAGCCTGGGAGCTGAGAATGGCCCCATTTGGAAATAGGGTCTTTGTAAGCGGAATGAAGGTCGTGAGATGAGGTCGCCTGGGCCAGCTGTGTCACCCACTCCGCTGGGCCAGGCCGCCACACTGGAATATGGTGAAGTCGCACACAACTGAGGGGAGTAGGGTGTTTTCCAAACTTGTGTCACCTGGGGCTGGGGCTGGGGCGTCATTTGGAAACAGGGTCGCTGCGGGTGGAGGGAGGGACTTTGAGATGAGGGCGGCCTATAACGGACAAGGGAGGACACACAGACGCAGGGCGAAGCAGGGAGAGGCTGGGGCAGCCTCCTGTGTTGTGTCCCCCAAATTCCCATCTACAATGTCATCCCCAGATGGCGGTGCTGGGAGGTGGGGACTCTGGGAGGTGACGGGGTCACGGGGTGGAGCCCCATGGATGGGGTCGGTGTCCTTATTTCTAACAGACCCCAGAGAGCCCCCTGCCCTTCCACCATGGAGGACACAGCGAGACGGCGCCATGCATGGACCAGGAAGCAGCTGTCACCAGACATGGCCCTGCCACACCTCGACCTTGGACGGAGCCAGGAACCCGTGTTGCTTTTGGGGGGCTGGCGAAGGGGGGTGCACGCCGAGCTGGGGCCGCCGGCCGGGGGGACAAGGCGAGGTCCATCGTGTCCTGTGTTTTATTTTGCGTCCGAATGCCCGACATGGAACCGAATCGCTAGGGCTGTGTGTGCAAAAAGAGGAGCTAGTGCGACAGGCACAAACGGGACACATGAAACTTTTGTCTGAAATAAATAAAGACAACGGGTCCGACAAGCGCCCTGGACGTCCAGGTCCTCCTGGCCGGGCCGCCCCACCCCGTGGACCCTCTGTGACGTCATCACGTCAATCCATCACCCCCCAGCCATCAACCCGGGGAGGTCGGGGTGTCATGGGTTGCTCAAGGTCACCTTGAGCCCCCTCTAAGGAAGGACAAGGTGGCAGCCAGGACAAGACTGGAATTTCTCGAAGGTCAGTGGTCCGTAATAGGAATGGAGAAATCTGGGGGCCGCGGAGTCCCAACCCGTGTGCAGGGGACAGACCTCCTAGATGACTTTCTTCAGCTCGTCGTACAGCACCAGGACGAAGGCGCCGCCCATGCCGCGCAGGACGTTGGACCAGGCGCCCTTGAAGAACGCTTTGCCGCCCTCGTCCTTGAAGATCTTCCTCCAGCAGTCCAGGGTGCCTGTGTACATGATGTCCGCTGCACGGACGGACAGCGCGGTCAGGAGGACGACACGGGAAGCTCTCGGGGTGCAGGGGACAGTGCCACCCCCCCTCCACCCCGGCGGGGCTCGGTCACCACCAGGATGAACAACCGTGGTCACCCGAAAGGCCAGGAGTCCCTTGCACAGCTGCCCCACAGCCCAGCATCCAAGCCCTGCAATCTGAGCTACCGAGGAGGCAGACATAAGGAGGACTGAGGTTCGAGGCCAGCCCAGGCAAAACAGCGAGACCCCATCTCAAGAACGCCCGGCACAGAGTTAGGCGTTGGTGGCTCACGCCTGCAATCCAAGCTACTCAGGAGGCAGAGATGACAAGGATTGTGGTTCAAAGTCAGCCCCAGGCAAATAGTTGTCAAGAGCTTGTGTTGAAAAAAAGCATCGCAAAAAAAAAAAAAAAAAGGCTGGTGGAAGACCCTGAGTTCAAACTCCGGTACTCGCCCCCAAAAAAGATTAAAATTAAAGAAAAGAAAATACCCAACTTAAAAAAGAGATAGTTGAGAGGATCAACTGGTCGACCAGCAAGTGCAAAACACACACAAAATAATAACTGTTAAAAAGCCTCACGCTTGTAATCCCAGCAACTTGGGAGGCTGAGATGGGGAGGACTGCGGTTCGAGGCCAGCCTGGGAAAACAGTTAACAAGACCCCCGTCTCCAAGATAAGCGGGCAAAACGGACGGCAGGTGTGGATCAAGCAAAAAGCACAAAAGTGTGGCAGCTTAGTAGGTCCTGTAAGGGAACAGAAAACCCCATCTTAATATCGGGGCTGGTGGAGTGAATGAAGATGAAAGCTGTGAGTTCAAAACCAGCACCAAAAAAAAAGAGAGAAACTGTAAAATAATGCCAGCACCACCAAAGCTGGGTTTCAGGAGACAGCGCCCCCTGGTGGCCATGTCGGTTTCTGACACCATGAAGCTCTGGCCACAGGGGTCCCCTTCCCCCCCAGGACAGGACAGACAGGACAGACAGGTACCTCCTTTGCGGCCAGACTGCATCATCATCCTCCTCCTTACGGTGTCGAACGGGTAGGACACCACGCCGGCCACCGCGGTGACAGTCTGCGCGATCATCCAGCTGATCACGATGTGCGTGTTTTTGGGGTCTGGAAGCATGCCTGGGGGGGCCGTGGTGGTGGTCAGCAGCCGGCATCGAGCCAGGTCGTTTCCTTCTCGGCCATGTCCCCACAACCCGCTGACCTTCCCCAAGGTGGAAGGCAGCCCAGGGCCACTCCCAGAGGCTGGGCCTGGAGGCCCGGCGGGAGTGTCCTCTCTGAGATTTGAGGTCACCTTTCTGAGGGACCCGTGCAGGTGCACAGGTGCAGCCTGGCGGACTCCACCCCTTCCCAACCCAAAACTGAGCAGCAGACCTTTGCAGGATGAATAAAAGTGGTTATTTTTGGACTAAAATACCCCAGCCAAACTCTTCTCCCCCTCCTCCGCCCAGGACCTCAGCATGCAGCTGCGTTTAGGTCTTTAAAGGGTCAAATGAGGTCATCTGGTGACTGTCACCTAATTAGGGCCCATAAAGACTGATAAGGGCACAGACACACAGGGCTGCCTAGCTCAGGCCACCCCTTGACCTTGAGCCCCCAGCTTCCGGGACTGGCAGGGAAGAAAGGTCCCTGGGGTCACCCAGGCTGTGGGATTTCGGTGAGCGTGTCCCAAGCAGAAGCATCGAGAGCCCAGGATTACCTGGGGCGACGCATGACCCCGTGAGGCCCCGCACTCACCCTTGGCTGTGTCGTACACCCCAAAGTAGGCGGCCCGGTAAATAATGATGCCCTGCACGGACACGTTGAAGCCCTGGTAGAGGCCGCGGATGCCGTCCGACTTGGTGATCTTCACCAGGCAGTCGCCCAGGCCCTTGAACTCGCGCTCGGTGCCCGACTTGCCCACGTCGGCGGCCAGGCGGGTCCTGGCGAAATCCAGCGGGTAGACGAAGCACAGGGAAGTCGCTCCCGCAGCCCCTCCGGAGGCCAGGTTGCCGGCGAAATACCTCCAGAACTGGGTGTGCTTGTCGACGCCACCCAGGAACACCTGCTTGTATTTATCCTTGAAGGCGAAGTTGAGGGCTTGCGTGGGGAAGTAGCGGATCACGTTGGCCAGGTTGCCCCTCCAGAAGGACAGCACGCCCTGCTCCTTGGGGATCCGCACGATGCAGTCAACGATCCCCTTGTACTGCTTGTCGGCTGCGATCTGCTTGCTGGCATGTTGGACCTGCCAGGGTGACCGAGGGGGGACACGGGGAGGTCAGACCAGACCTGATGTCAAAACCCAAAGCCTCCGAAGCTAGCCAAGAAGCCAGCTCCAGGTGCACTGCATGCAATTAAGTCAAAAGCGCCTCTCAATGCGGTCGCAACAGGGTTTCTCCAGCAAAGGCGACTTTGCAACCATGTAGCCAGCTACTGTCGCGTGCATTTGCAACCAGACACTCAGAACCGCAAAGGTTCATCGAATGCAAAAATGCAACAAATTATTTGCTACTGTCCTCCACGAGACACCTCAGTGCAGACCTGCGCAGGTGACACCAGCTCTCAAACGCTGTGTTCAAGAAGCAGCAGCTCAGAGCAAGCAGTTTTGGGGACATCGCTTTTGATTTCAGGCCACGGTCCTTCAGAATGCGATGGCAAAGCCGGGTACGCAACAGGGTAGCCGAGCCGAGGCGCCTTTGCAACCAGAGGCTGAGAACCGCAAAGGGTTAAAGAAAGCAAAAATGCAACAGACTATCCTTGTCCCCGACCTCGGGGGACCTGTAGGACACGTGGAGCTCAGACCTGCGCAGGTGGGACCAGCTCTCTCCAAAGCCTGTTCTACAACACACGAGCTCACAGCTAGCAGTTTTGGGGGCATTGCGTGCAATTTAAGTCAAAAGCACGCCTCAATGCAATTGCAACATTGCATCTCCAGCAAAGACCGCTTTGCAAAAATGTAGCCCAGGTCGCTACTGTCGCGCGTTTTTGCAACAAGAGGATTCAAACCACAAAGGGGATTTCCGTAAAGCAAAAAGACAACAAAATGTCACTGTCACCATAATCCCAGGACACCGCTAGAAGTCACACCTGAGCTCAGGTGACAATGTCCAGGATGCAAGGAGCCGGGGTCAGGGTGACCGGTTCAAGGTCACGGGTGCTCGCGCTCAGCCCCCGCGCATGCGCCCTGCAGCTTCCGGACCCAACGCGCACCCAGTCCAAGCCGCGACGTCACCGCCGCTCGTGCGCACTGACGTCACACGCATCCCGGAAGTGGAGGACACGGGACAAAGCGGAGCAGGGCCTGCCACTTCCGCTGTCCTCCCGCCCTCCCGCCGGTGCACGCTGCCCCCGGCCCAGCACTGCTTGGATCGCAGAAATCCCCGATCGCCCCTTCCCTCCCTGGCCACAACCCGAACCCCAAAACCCCAGATCGCGCTCGGCCAAGCAATGTCCGCCCCACCTGCAACAGCAGCTTGACCCGCTCGATCGGGGCCACGGCCGTCTTGGAGATGGCGGCAGCGATGCCCCCGGCGAGGAAGTCCTTGGCGAAGGAGATGGCCTGTTCCGTCATGGTGGCGTGGAGCGCGGGGCAGCAAATGGACAGATCCCGATCGCGTGGAGAGACGGACAGACCCCGTCGCTAGCTCAGCCCTGCCGCCGGGACCGAAAGGACGGGGAGGCCAGCGCGCAGCCGCTAAGGACTCAAAGCCACGCCCACTGTCCCGCCTCCCTTAGCCCATACGCCGCTCCTATTGGCTAAGCCACACGCCCACTCCCCGCCCCGCTGCCAGATCCTCTCGCCCATTGGCTGAGACTCCCCCGACCCACCCACACCTCCGCGCCGCGCCCCCGCGGGCCGTATGGACCCGCCCTCCACCCGCTGGCGATGCGCCCATTGGCTGTGCCGGCCGCCGCGAGGCATGCCGGGATCGCGGCCCCGCCCATGCGCCATGCGGGCCGGGGAGCCTCGGACTTCACCATGACCTTGACAAGGTCACCACGCGGCCGGGAACGCGTGGAGGTTTAGGGGCCTGTCCACCCGTGACCTCAAGCCAACACCCACAATGCATAGTCCCGGTTTCCTTCCGGGCGTGCGACTTGGGTTTCCCTGACCTTTGACCCCTGAGTACCCCACTTAACCCCAAACGCCCCCACGCGTCCGGTTCTCGGGACACCCCAACCCCGGGCGAGGCCTTTCTGTGGGTGGCACGAAGTTGGCGGTCACACACTTGGGGTGTGGGAGGGGGATCTCCAATCTTGCATCCCCTGACCTTTGACCCTAGGGGACTCAAGTGACACTAGGTGGCTACCTGGGTCTCACCTGTCAATCCAGCCCACGAAGCAGAGCTGAGGGTGTCGCCTGGCTTTTGCACCCCCTTCACGGGCCGGGGTGCAGATTTGGGGTGCAGATCATGCAAAGGGATCTGGAGGTCTGCAAACCGACCATGGGGTGCAGCAGGAGCTCGTGCAAGTGGACCTGAGGTTGCCAGCAGGCTCTTGCACTCCATGTACTTCTGTGCACCCCAAGGGCAGCAGAGGTCAGGGTGCAGCAGGTCTGCAGGGTCCCCCGCGCATTTTGGGAGCTGAAATCAGGGGTCTTAGCAACTCAGCTGAGTCCTCACTCCATGTCTGCCTCTGCCTCTCCCTCTCCCTCTCCCTCTCCCTCTCCCTCTCTCTCTCTCTCTCTCTCTCTCTCTCTCTCTCTCTCTCTCCTCCTCTTTCTCTCCCTCTCTCTTATCTCTCCCTCTCCCTCCTCTCTCCTTTCTCTCCCTCTCTCTCTCTCCTCTCTCTCACTCCTCTCTCTCTTTCTCTCCCTCTCTCTCTCTCTCGCTCTTCTCTTTCTCTCCCTCTCTCTTCTCTCTCCCTCTCCTCTCTCTCTCGCTCCTCTCTCTCTCTTTCTCTCCCTCTCTCTCTCTCCCTCTCCTCTCTCTCACTCCTCTCTCTCCTCTCTTTCTCTCCCTCTCTCTCTCTCAGTAGGGTCTCCAGAACTATTTCCCTGAGCCTGACTTTGAACCGTGATCCTTCTGATCTCTACTTCCTAGGTAGCCAAGATTACACGTGGGCCACCCCACCAGTGCCCAGCCCTGCTTGCTGGCTGGATGGGTGGATGGATGGACAGACCAGTGTGTTGGGTGTACAGGTGGGTGGGTGGACGGATGGATGGATGGATGGATCGGTGGATGGATGGATGGGTGGGTGGGTGGATGGATGGGTGGGTGGACGGATGGATGGATGGATGGATGGGTGGATGGGTGGATGGATGGATGGATGGATGGGTGGATGGGTGGATGGGTGCGTGGATGGGTGGATGGGTGGATGGATGGGTGGATGGTGGATGGACAGATGGGTGGATGGACGGGTGGGTGGATGGGTGGATGGATGGATGGGTGGATGGATGGGTGGATGGATGGGTAGGTGGGTGGGTGGGTGGGTGGATGGGGTGAACCACCTGCAAGCATTCTGGGGACCTGAGCCTGCAGTGTCACTCCACACCCCAATGTCCTTGTAGCCACCTTGCTTCTTCCTTTCTTGTCCTGAGGAGAGGCAGGCACAGGGTGGGGCTGGCGGTTCAAGGACAAGTCTGGCTGCTATGAGATGTAATTAGGGACCCTTAGAAGTGGCTTAGGAGCCAGGTCATTCCAGATCCAACTGCCTGCCAAGCCCTCAGCCTGCCTGGCTCACGAGGTTGCTATTTTTAAACCCAAATCCTGGGTCATAGAGGAGAGCAAAGTTCCCAGAGCACGTGGACGGTTTAAGTAATCCATGTCTGATCCCTGGTGTTCAGATGCTCAGTCTCCAGGTGGGTCAATATGGTGACTATTTTTTTTTTTAATTGCCACTGTCACCAGGGCGCCTGGCCACTGGGGCTGGGTGCCATAGGAAGGGTGGCACATTGGTCCATGTCCCAGACACACACCAGGCCACTAGGGCGTGCCTCAGGAAAGCTTTGGGGGCATAAACCATAGAACCTGAGGACCTCGCCCTCCTATAGAGGACAGTCCAGCTACACCTGACACCTGGCAGTTGGAAATGGGGTGAGAACAAAAAGGGCAGGTGGGGAGGAGGGTGGAGCTGTGTCTCCCACCCCACATGGCACCCCGAAACCCCAGGGCAGTGAAACCAGACCCAGCCCAGCAGGTTCCCGAAACCCAGGAGCCCGGCTCAGACCTGCCTGAGCGACTTAGAGATTACAGTTGAATCCGTTCCAAATGGCACCTGGGTGGTGTGCAAGGTGGGTGAAGGAAGAAGGAAGTAGTAGCTGGGCGTGGGGTGTGGTTGTGAACATCTGTAATGCCAGCTCTTCGGGGAGGAGGCTGAGGAATTTAAAAGTTAAAGGGTTACGGACAGAGCTCGGGGTTCGGTGTTTTCTAACACACCGACTTGCACAACCCCTCCCCGCAACTCATGTGAAAGCATTGAGGAGTGAACAATAGACTGCCAGGCAAAAGGCATCAGACTGCTCCCCGCTTCCCCCCCCAAAAATGAGATTCCTTCTGCTAAAGAAACGCCCCAAAAAGGACCTTCAGGGGGTGGGTGGGTTCCATGTATTGTCATTTGAGACTGCCCCTTAGATTAGTCCTAAGGACAGCTCTTATCACTGATGACAGGCAGCAAAGGTATGCAGTAAGCCCTCAGTTATGGTTTGAATGAGGGAAAGACACCTCTAGGGTGGGCCCCACGGGTGGGCCCCACCTGCAATCCCAGCCTTGTAATCCTATTAAGTTCTCCAGCATAAAACCCTCAGGTGACAGGCACCTGTGCGTGCCACTCCTGCAAAATGCTATTCAGACAAAGGAGGAAACACAGTGGCTCCTTTTTTATTTCTGCTCAGGCACGAGGACCTTAAGTCCTGGTGTGTTTTATGGGGTGGGGGGTCCGGGATGTCTTCCCAGCCTCGAGGCTCCCCTGTCTCGTGGCGATGGTAGCAAGGAAAGGGCTTGGGGGTCCCTCTCAGAGCAAACTGGGGATCTGCATTGCCTGGGACGAGTTTGCACGGGGTCACACCCCGCACACACCTTCTGCCTTTCCTCTGTGCTGGCATCAGGATTTGAACTCAGGACCTCAGGCTGGCTAGGTGGGCACGCTACACCTGGAGCCACTCCGCCAGCCCTTTTCTGTGACTGGTTTTTTGCAGATGAGGGTCTCGAGGACACTCAGGTCACCAGGTGTCATGTCCTGAGAAGCCCACGGTAATCAAAAATATTACACTATTAAAATATGAAATCAAAAGTGTCCCCATAACCCAGGAGAAATGACCCCATAAAGCCAGACAGTCCTAGACCTGCACGGCATTTTGTCCTCATCAAGCCATCATAAAAATGAATGGATTTTCACTACAAACACAGTAACCAGCCGGGGGCAGTGGCTCACACCTGTAATCCACCAACCCGGGAGGCTGAGACCACGAGGATCAAGGTTCAAGGCCAGCCCAGGAAAAGAGTTTGAGAGACCCCATCTCCAAAACAAACAGAGCAACCTGGGCGGGAGGTGTGGCTCACACGGAGAGCGCCTGGGGCGTTAAGTGTGAAGCCCTGAGTTCAAATCCCGGTCACACCAAGAAATGAAAATTAAGAAACACTGCAACAGAACTGTTTGCCCAGGCTGGCCTCAAACCTCGATCCTCCCCACCTCAGCCTCCTGAGTAGTGGAGATTACAGACGCGAGCCACAGTGCCTGGCTGTTTGTCTTTTTTTTTTTTAAGACAGAAAACAGGCCAAGTTGTGGCCACCTGCTGATATGCACAAATCTGTACGAAGAAACTGAAGAGGCCGAGCGCAGCAGTGCACACCTGTAATCCCAGCAGTCGGGAGAATGAGGCAGCAGGATCCTAAGTTCAAGGCCAGCCTGGGGAACATAGTGAGACCATGTTCCAAAACAAAGCAAAAAGCCTGGGACCTCCTCACACCGGCCCCCAATCTGCGCGGCGACTGGGGGATGAACCCTCAGCCACGGATGGACACCACCCTCCCTCTCCGACCATCTGAGGCTGTTCTGCACATTGCCCCAGCTCAGAGCAGAGTCCATTCTTTATTGTTTTATAACTGTACATTCAAATGTCACTCCGGATGAAACTTGTCCTAAAGGTCAGCACCGCAGATTCAGGGACAGGGTCCCCCCGATGGGGAGTCCACTGGGTCTCATAGGCTGACTCGGGTGCCCAGGGCCACTTCCAGGAGGTCCCCGGCGGAGGCCACCTGTACGTCCTGGAATCCCAGCTGCTCCAGCCAGCATCTGGCCTGGTCCTGGCTGGGCTCTCTGACCCCAGGCTGCACCAGGAGGTCGAGGAAATACGTCAGGCCACCAGAGGGCGCTGTCCTGTCCTTGTCCAAGACCGGTTCTGCCAGCAAGAAGCCAGCTCCTGCTGCAGATGCACAGGGATGAGCTCGGAATGGATGCCGCGGGGTACCCACAAGGGACAGGGAGCAGGGGAGGGGGACAAGGATGTCAGGACTAGGGGCTGGTGGTGGGGGACAGAAAGATGACAGATACACACATGACGGTACATGGATGGAAGGATGGATGGATGGGTGGGTGGGTGGATGGGTGGGTGGAGGATGGGTGGGTGGGTGGATGGGTGGATGGGTGGATGGGTGGTGGGTGGATGGGTGGGTGGGTGGATGGGTGGGTGGGTGGATGGGTGGTGTGGATGGATGGGTGGATGGGTGGGTGGATGGGTGGATGGGTGGGTGGATGGGTGGATGGGTGGATGGATGGGTGGGTGGATGGGTGGGTGGATGGGTGGATGGGTGGATGGGTGGATGGGTGGGTGGATGGGTGGATGGGTGGATGGGTGGGTGGATGGGTGGATGGGTGGATGGTGGATGGTGGGTGGGTGGATGGGGATGGGTGGTGGGTGGTGGTGGGTGGTGGGTGGGGTGGATGGGTGGGTGGGTGGATGGGTGGGTGGGTGGGTGGGTGGGTGGATGGGTGGATGGATGGATGGGTGGATGGATGGGTGGATGGATGGGTGGATGGGTGAGTGGACGGATGGATGGATGGACAGGTGGGTGGATGGATGGGTGGATGGGTGGATGGATGGGTGGATGGGTGGATGGATGGATGGATGGATGGGTGGATGGATGGGTGGATGGGTGGATGGGTGGATGGGTGGGTGGATGGGTGGATGGGTGGGTGGATGGGTGGATGGGTGGATGGATGGATGGATGGATGGGTGGCTGGGTGGATGGGTGGATGGGTGGATGGGTGGATGGGTGGATGGGTGGATGGGTGGGTGGATGGGTGGATGGGTGGATGGGTGGATGGATGGATGGATGGGTGGATGGGTGGATGGATGGATGGATGGATGGTGGATGGATTGGTGGATGGGTGGAGGGATGGGTGGATGGGTGGATGGATGGATGGATGGGTGGGTGGATGGATGGGTGGATGGGTGGATGGGTGGGTGGATGGATGGGTGGATGGGCGGGCGGGCGGATGGATGGGTGTGCGGGTGGGTGGATGGGTGGATGGGTGGTTAGATGGATGGATGGATGATTGGTAGATGGATGGGTGACTCACAGATGACAGACAGACATCAATATATGCTAGAGTGACAGAAATATGTTATAGATAGACAGATGTCAAATGCTAACTTGACGATAAATAGAAAAATTGATGATAGAACAGGACAGCTGCGACATCCCTGTCTATATATTGACAGTCTCGCAGCCACAGGGAACAAACAGTAGCCCTATGTTTTGTCCTGGGAACTCATCCTTCCTATTGTGCCCTGACTTTTCTGTGGTCATGTGAAATGTGACAGCCCCCATTGCCTGTGGGCATGGCTGGGATCAGCCAGGGGATACAGACCACCTGGGAAATCATTCAGGGACAAATAAGAGCTATGGTGACACGGCACAGGAGGAGGGGGACCTACATAGTGTGACATCTCCAACACTGGTTGGCAGTGACAGTTTGGTGGCACCAGGAAAATGGTACATGAGGACTTGGGGAGCCAAGGTGACATCATTTAAGATTGAGGTGACAATTTTGTCGCACCTGGGCACAACACCTTTCTTCACTGCTCACTGCTGCCACAATCCTCGGTGGCCTCAGTCCAACTCATGTACTATTTTTGCCAGGACTCCCCAAAATAGCATCAAGGTATCGCGAACCTGCAAACCCTAGGCATTGTCACCAACATCTGCACTTGTCCCTTTGTGTTTCAGGAAGGCACAGAGCAGCAAGTCCTCACCTGTCTTGCAGGCATCCGCCACCCTCCTCAGTAATCTCAGGACTTTGTCCTCTGGCCACTCAGGTGGGACTGTGGACAGGAACGTAGAGGTCGGCTTTGGGAGGGCGTCGTGGAAGATGTCACCTGGTGGAGAGAGAAAGTGCAGTAAAAGTGGGACATTGATCCGAGAGAGCGCGGGACCTTGAGTGGGACTGTGTTTGGAAAGAGACAAGAAGAGAGATCAGCACAGAGAGAGACAGAGGGGACACTAGGGACAGGGCACAGAATCCACTTGGCCATGGCCAGTGGGGACAGTGAGAAGCAGAGATGCCTCAAGCTGAGGCCTGGTTGTAGCTCACAAGAATGACTGCCATGACGTAAAGATGTCCCAGTCACGTATGGAATGGTGTCTAGAAGACACTGCTGTGAGCCCTCGGTGCCTGAGCGTGGGACCTCATTTGGAAATAGGGTCTTTGTGGATGGAATGAAGGGTCTTGAGATGAGGTCGTCCTGGACCAGCTGTATCAGCCCACGCCATTAAGCCAAGCCGCCATATGGATATATGGTCACGTTCCATAGATGAGGGAATGGTGTCTTTTCCAGAAGGTGTGTCCACTGGACCTGAGCATGGGACCCCATTTGGAAATAGGATCTTTGCAGATGGGATTAATGAAGGGTCTTGAGATGAGGCCATCGTGGACCAGCTGTGTCACCCACTCCACTGGGCCAGGCCGCCATATTGGAACATGGTCAAGTCCCATAGAACTGAGGGGAAAAGTGACTTTTCCAAAAGGTGTCACCTGGGATGTGAGAATGGGACCTCATTTGGAAACAAGTCTTTGCAGGTGGGATTAAGGATCTTGGGACACACACAGAGATGAGTGCTCCCTACACAAGCCGACATAACCTAAAGACAGCTAACACAGTCTGGGCACGGTGGCTCACAGCTATAACCCCAGCTAGCTGGGACTGGGACTGAGGTGATTACAGTTCCAGACCAGCCTGGGTAAAAAGGTTAAGGAGACCCCATCTCAATGGAAAAAAGCTGGGCATAGTGATGCCCACTTGTCATCCCAGCTACAGCAGGAAGTGTAAGATAGGAGGGGTCATGGTCCAGGCCTGCACAGGTCAAAAAGCGAGACCCCCCCATTTCCAAAATAATCTGAGTGAAATTCGCTGGGGTGTGGCTCAACTTGACCCCGAATAAAGCAAGGCAAAGGAGTGTTTACCAAGAGAAAGCTGACTGGCGCCATTCCTCTTCCTCCTCCTCCCCCTCCTTCCCCTTGTCCTCTGTGGGGCTGACAACAGGGGACTTGCTCGATGACCTCCAGGAGGTCAAACACCGTCACCTTCATCCTCGGGTACACCCGGACCAGCTCCTGGGCCAGGGCACCTGTGGAACCTGTGGGACAGCAAACACACACTGTATTTGCTGAACCTGGTGGAGTCACCAGATTTCACACAGCAGAACAAAAATCTCATTTAAGGACACAGCAACTGAGGTCGGCCCTGTAAACGAGCTCAACCATGCACAGACGGTGGCTGTCTCAGAGTCCAGACCATACAAGATGATGCCCGCTGAGGGCAGGTAAGTGGGGTGCTGGCTTCAGATTGTATCTTTCTACTGTGGAAATGCACATGATGGCTGGCGCTGAAGCAGCTACTCTGGGCCACCAGGAAGAATTGTGTGCAAATGGTTAGTCCATGCAAACTGGTGGCACGTGAGTCGTCCCTGTTCTCTTGGGAAGATGTCGTCTTCTATTCACCATCCAGCTGCATGAACTGGGCTGGTGTGGGGCAGAGGTAAATGGGGATATAGCTTTCTCACCACTCACTGTTTCCTATGCTAGGTCCTTTAACCCAGACAGGACATCCTTAGGGCCTTCCTGGAACCTGGGACTACCTGCCCAAGGCCCAGCACCCACCCTGGCTCATAAACACATATCCTATCTGCAAGTCCTATATGACATATCCACAGGAGGGTCTACCCACCTCCCAGATGGCAGGCACAGGTGAATCTGGACAAGTCAAAGGCCGTGGCCACTTGGTGTGAGGTCAGCTTGGTGAGGTTGTGCCTGGCTCTGAGGACCTGCAGGGTTGGTGCCTTGCTCTGGTCGCATGAGTCCTAAGACAGAACAGAGGCTAATGGGATGCCTCTATGTGTCTCAATCCGTCTCTCTCTCTCTCTCTCTCTCTCTCTCCTCTCTTTCTCTACCATGCATTGGATTTACATGTCTGCTCAGCAAACAATGCTGAGCGGGAGGAAGCCACAACCAACAGTGCCACCTGGCAGAGCTACCTTCTGACTGACTTTCACAGCACACCACATCGCCTGTAAAGGTTCTCAGAGGGCATGGAACAGGGGAAAGAGGCTTGCAACCCACAGGGTGACCCCACACAGGAAAAGCAGTGAATTAAATCAGTGCAACCCTACAGAGCATCTTACGGAAGAAGAAATCCTTCTTTCCAGGCAAGGCCATGGGAAATGTCCCCCAAAGGTGCGGGTGTTGGAGGATTGGAACCCAGATGGGTTGCAGTTTGAGATGGTGGAGCCTTTAAGAGGAGGGCCTAGTGGCCGGAAGTGAGGTCACGGGGGGCGTGACCACGAAGGGAATATTGATGGATGCACAGTGGAATAGGCTATTTGAGGGGGGTGGAGCCTGTAAAGAGGCGGGGCCTATGGGAGGAAGTGAGGTCATTGGGGCGTGGCCTGGAAGGGGATGATGAGGACCCCAGTCTCTTTTCTCCCTCTGGTTCCCAGGCCTGAGATCAGCACTTGTCATTTCCGCCCGCGTCCACCATGCAGTTCAAGCTCCTCACAGGCCCAAAGGCAAAGGGCCAACCATCAGGACACCGAAACTTCCTTTCTGTCTCCCAAAATGAACCTTTCCGCTCCATTAGGTGACAATTTCAGGTATGTTTCATGACACAGGATGCAAAGGGGAGGAGGAGGTGGGAGTCAGGGCTGTAACTCTCACCTTCCGACCCACAGCCCGTGGACCTGCTCTGGGCCTCTCGGATGGCAACCTCCAGGTGGGTGAAGAGATCCCAGGTGTAATCATTGGTGTGCGTGATGTACGCCGTGCAGGAGACTCACTGTCCGACACCAGGTACACACTGGCCAGCTCGGTGTTGCTGTAACCTAAAAGAACAAGGTGTTCACCAACAAAAACACCCAGGAAGCCAGGCATGGTGGGGCACACCTGTAATCCCTGCACTCAGGAGGCAGAGGCAGGTGAAGGCTGGCCTGAGACTCTGTTCTCTCAGGACTGTTCCAGTCCCCCGGCCAGGGTGTGGTCTCTGTATGTCAAACAGCAGTGCACATGTGGCCGAGAACATTCTGCAAATGTCCATAGCAGATCTGATCTCTCAAGGTGACCATGCAACTGTCAATGTTCTGACTGAGACCAGGATGAAGTTGGTTCAATTCAGCAAACATTATCAACACATTCACCACTTTTCAAAGCAGGCATCTACCCAACCACCCATCCACCCACCCATCCATCCATCCACTGATTCACCCACCCATCCACCCACCCATCCACCCATCCACCCATCCATCCATCCACCCATCCATCCACCCATCCACCCATCCACCCATCCATCCACCCATCCATCCATCCACATCACACCATCTTCCACCCATCCATCCACCCATCCATCATCCATCCACCACCCATCTTCCACCCATCCACCATCCACCATCCACCTACCCATCCTTCACCATCCATCCATCCACACCATCCATCCGTCCACCCATCCACACCCATCCCCCATCCATCCATCCACCCATCATCCATCCATTCCACCCATCCACCATCCACCCAGTCCATCCATCCCCATCCATCCATCCACCCACCACACCATCCATCCATCCACCCATCCATCCACCACCACCCATCCACCCCCATCCACCCATCCCATCATACACCCACCATCCATCCACCCACCCATCCATCCATCCACCACCCATCCACCCACCATCCACCCACCCATCCACCCATCCACCCATCCACCCATCCATCCATCCATCCACCCATCCACCCACCCATCCACCATCCACCCACCATCCACCCATCCACCCATCCATCACCCATCCACCCATCCATCCACCCATCCATCCATCCATCCACCCATCCACCCATCCATCCATACTTGTATTTATTATCTGTCACTTCTCTGTCACATCATTCTTTACTGAAACAGATAACTAAATGCAAGTGTGTCCTCCTGATTCAGTTTCCCCCCGAAAATCCTGATCAATCAGTCCTTCTAAGACCGAGAACCCATGAGTAGGCTAACATACGGCGCCGCTCAACAGGCCCTTCTGCCCCATCTGTCCCCTTACCCTTAGGGGAAAGCCACCCTCCAGAGGAACATCCTGTCACCTGAGGTGAGAGACCCCTCACTCAGCACTCGCTTTCCACCAGCAAAGACACTCGGGAAAAACCTGTCACGCTGCGTCACCTCGCTCCGTCTTCTCCAGCAAGCCCAGGGCCACACACGCATCCAGCAGCCTTCTGGTGCCACACACGGAGGCGTCCACCTGGGGGCCACCTTGGTGGCATGCTGGGGCGCCATACCTCTCAGTAAGTCAAACACATTCAGCTTGCACGCGGCAAACAGGGCCTGTCCAAGAACATGGGCACAATGAGACGTGAATGACTCACTGTCACTCATTTCAACCGCCACAGACAGACCTCAGAATGGAGGTCAATTGCCAAGAGCTGCCACACACTGTAGGTGCATCACTCTGATGAGGATTAATGGGAACCTCAGAGAAACTGAGGCACAAGAACCACTGCTCTTTCTGCATCCTAATGGTCAGACATTCTCCCTTAAGGATGAGGCAACAGGAAAGTGGCCAAGAGAAAGGGAGCAGGAGCCGTGTTCTATAGCCTGTGACCCCCTACACCCAGGACCACCCTGCAGAGTCCCCAGTGTGGACTGAACCACATTCCTCTATATCTTCCCATATCCTCAGTGGCCCCAGGAGCTCCAATCTCCAAATACAGCTTGCAGAGGGGTTAAGAGTGACACATGTGCCATGCTGGGGACGTCTATATGATTCTCACCCTCAACACATGCTGACCCACAGGGGCAAGGGAACACCGAGTGTCATCCACATGACCCAAGTGTGGTTGTCACATAGCACAGTGTGACCCCAGGTCTGGGAACGCACACACCAGGAGAGAGGAGATCGCCTCCATTCGTGGACACTTAGGGAAAGGGACGGTCAGCCTAGGGACATTGTGAAGGCCCACTGGTGCCCCCAAAAATGAGTGCACGTTGCGATCCCTAAAAACCTGCGAATGGGACCCATTGGGAAATAGGGGCTTTGGCAGGTGGAATGAAGGGTCTTGAGATGAGGTCATTCTGGAGCAGCTGTGTCACCCACTCCATTGGGTCAGGCCACCATAATGGAATAAGGTCAAGTCCATAGAACTGAGGGGAGTGGTGTCTTTTCCAAAAGCTGTGTCACCTGGGACCTGAGCATGGACCCATTTGGAAAATAGGGTCTCTGCAGATGAAACTGGGATCGTGAGATGAGCTCATCCTGGACCAGCTGTGTCACCCACTCCATTGGGCCAGGCCGCATATTGGAATATGGTCAAAATCCTCAGAAATGAGGGGAATGGTGTCTTTTCCAAAAGGTGTCACCTGGGACCTAAGCATGGGACCTCATTTTGAAATAGGGTCTTTGCAGGGGCAAGGATCGTCCCCTGGGTCTCTGGTGGGGACAGCCCTGCCTCACCTGAACCCCACACTTCTGCTCTCCAGGACGAGGACAGGTGGATCCTGTACTTTAAGGCCCTGGTTTGCAGTAACCGTCATGGCGGCCCCGGGAAGCTCATTCCATACCTTGGATGCTTTGAAGCCGTCTATCAGGCCCAGAAGGCCCGCTGGGGACGGAGGTGGAGTGTTCACTGTCCATCACAACCACCGTCCTTGGCGTCCCAAGGCTGTGGGTCACCTCCACCTTGTGACACGCATTCGTCACCTCCTTGTGATGGTAACTCAGGCGGGTCTTGTCCTGTCCTCCCACTGTGTCCCTCCGAGTGGGTTCAGAGCCACCCTCCAGTCGCTCAGGTCTTCGAAGGTGTCCACGCATGGGATGGAGTCGTGCTTGACCCGGTGGAGGTCCTGGGCGTGGAGTGGGCAGTACAGCTCGGCCAGCTTCTTGCAGAAGTGGTTCAGGGGGAAGCCCACGACATTGAGGAAGTCCCCGTACACATATTCCACCAGCATTCGCCCAGGGCCTGGATGCCATACCCGCCGGCCTTGTCCCTGCATGGGGTTGGAGGGACAGAGAGGGGCGGAGGGAGGGGGAGAAGGTCACAGTGGAGCCACGTGATCGTCGACACCCTTCCTAGGTATTGGATGTGAGTAACAGTGAATATGGCCCACCCCTGGGCTGTCTTTTCATTAAGAAATATGACAACAAAGTCAGGTGTGGTGGTGCATCCGTAATCCAGCACCCAGCGGCAGACAAAGGAAAATCACAAGTTTAAGGCCAGCACAGGCTACTCAGAGAGACCCTCAATGAAGAAAATGGAAAGAAGCCAGGTGCAGTGGCTCACGCCTGTAATCACAGCTCCTTGGGAGGCTGAGGTCAGGAGGATCAGGGTTCAAGGCCAGCCTGGGCTAAGTTAGTGAGACTCCACTGAATCAACAGTTGGACTTGGTGGTTATTCCAGCTACTCCAGAGGCCGAGATTGGGAGGATTCTGGTTCGAGGCCAGTCTGGGCAAATAGTTTATGAGACCCCATCTTGAAAATAAGCAGAGGAAAATGGATGGGAGGGGCGACTCACGTGACAGAGGGTCTGCTTTGCAAGGATGAAGTCCTGAGTTCAAATCCCAGCCCCACAGAAAAAAATTGGAAGGGCAAACATAAAAGTATATTTTATATACATAATCTAACATGCATGAAAATGAACACAGTAAAACCCCACCACTTAAAAAAGAGGAAATAATGAACTCATGAACCTGTCCAGAGTTCACTTTATGCACGCTGTAAAATATAAGGCATCCTCTGCACAGTTAATTTAAGGTGATAAAAATGTGACAAAAGAAGGAATCGGTATGCATTTGTGGCACACGGTGACAGGCTGGGATCTGTGACGTCACCTGTCACCTGGCATGATTACAGCTGTCCCAAATTGCTGTAGATGTGGTTCCTCACCACTGGTCACCGCCATGCTGCAAAGTGACCTTGACGTCCTGGTTTTACCAAAATGAGATTTTGTGACCTCTGACCATCACCTCCCCATCCACCTTCCTAGCTCGGGGCTCGCCCACATTTTGCTCTGTTCCTAGGACTTTTAATGTTTTAGCATCTGCAAATCTCACTTAATGTCACCTCCTCCAGTTCAAAAAGTGACCTCCTCCCTCTCCATCCATGTGGCCAAATTTCACTTTTTTTCCCCAGAATTTGTCCTTCCTGGCCTGACTTAGCGCAGGTGCCATGACGCCCTCCAGGGATAAAACTACATAGAAATCCACGGTCCCCCGCCTGGCCCTGGCTCCACTCAGGGTTTGTCAACTTTAGGGTTTTGTGTGAGTGTCGCCAGCCCTGTTTCTCTCTCAGGACGGTGCACAGCAAATTGCTCTGTATTTTATAAGACGGGGCACTTTGCACAACTGGACGCTGACATGCAGGTTACAGGGTGCAAGGCCATTTTTTGTTGTTGTTGTTATTTGTGTGTTCTCCATTTTTGAAGACAGGGTCTCACTTGAGTCCCCAGGCTGCACACAAACTTCCAAAGCTTCGGCCTCAGCCTCCAGAGTGCTGGGATTACGAAGTGTGACCACACACCTGGCTTCAATGCATTTTTTCTTTAATCGATTGATTTTTGATAGCACTGGGGTTTGAACTCAGGACGTCAGACTTGCTAAGCAGGTGCTTTCCCACTTGTCCAGCCCTGTTTCATGATGGGCTTTTTTTCGAGATAGGCTCTTGCAAACTATTGACCTCTGCCTCCTGAGTAGCTAATTCCTTCCTCGTGGTAATCTTGTCACCCTCCTAGCCATCTGTCCCCATTCCACACATTCCAGCCCTGAGGACCTCAGTCTCCTGCTTGCTGACAGACAGTGACATCCTATCGCACACCTTAGATAGACCTGGTGTGGCCTCTGTCCTTGTCAGTTAATATGACATCCTCACTTCCTTCCAGACTGTCCTCAATGGCAGGCTTCCTGTCTCCCAGGCCGAGGGCCCACCCCCACTGTCGCCATAGAAGGATGTCCTCTGTCCTGGCTGTGCAGTGTCCCCTGTGTGTGCCTGGCCAGCCGTCCCCGTGTCACCACCCTACCCAGGGACTCACATGGGCTCCCACTGTCAATGTAATCCCACAGCAACTCCTCCGACAGCTCGGAAACTTCACTCTCGTTTCTTCATAGAACTCGGACACCTCCGTGTCCAGACGGCCATCTGAAAGGACAAAACCCAGGAGGTTGGGGGACCGGCCATGGCCACGGCCACCTCAGTACCATGACGTCTATATGGGCACTGGAGGAGCTCGACATAACCTATGTGCAAATCTGTTACAATTTTTCATGGGGAAAAGGATCATTTTACGCGAGGGACAACCAGAGGGAGAAGAGGAGAACCCATGTGAAGATGGCGGTAGAGACTGGAGTGATGGGGCCACAAGCCAAGGACACCTGGAGCCCCACGAGGTGGAAGAGCCCTGTCACACGTGAATCCACCTGTCTGCAATACATGGGGACATTAGAGGGAAAAAAAGGAGGAAATGAAAGGTCTGGAGGCTCTCATTGCCTGGCAAGTGTTTTGTCCCAAAGGACACCAATGTGATAGTAGATGGACGGGGTAAAGGTGGCCCAGACCTGGGTTACCTACCTTGTAAGCACAATACAGACAACACAGGAAATACCTCAAGTCCTTCTGTGACTTCAAAGTTCCTTAAAGGCTGAAAGTGGTGGCTCACACCTATAATCCCAGCTACTTAGGAGCAGAGATCATGAAAATCTCCATCATGAGGCTGGGAAGCTGAGAACTTCAGTCCATGTCCCAGCAACGGAAGACAAACTGCCAAGTTACCTTTCGTGCTGCAGTGCACAATGGCTACGCCCGTGAACACGACTGTGCTCCTTCCCACTCAATCTGCAAAAGACACCACCAGACGGCCACCACGTCACAGGGGGCCCCACCACGGGTTCTCCAAGGAAATCCTGATAGAGTGACCATTGTCACTCAACACACATCTCAGTGTTCACTGCTGACAGGGCAGGAGGGGGTCACAAGACCCACAGGAAAGCATGACCCCAATGTAGGCTCATCCCATCCAGGATGTGGGTTGTGCACTAAGGAAAGGCTGAGGGAGGACAAGGACGAGTTCAAGAGCCAACCAGGTCTTTCTCTCTCATCGCTACCTTCCTGGGGGTCTGGGGTAGCAAAGCTGCAGCTCTGATGATGACATAAATGACGAGGACCAAACCTTGCCCCCATCTCTAAACTGGTGGCAGACCTGTGACCAGTATTTCTAAAGTCCTACAATGCCCACCTGGAAAGCATGCAATAGGCATGGTGCTTGTCCACCGGCTTTCCAGAATCAGCCCCTACAGCTGAGAGAGACATAGAGAGAGAGAGAGAGAGAGAGAGAGAGAGAGGAGAGGGAGAGAGAGAGACAGCCGCAGTTGGAGTCAAGGTTTGTACGAAAATGCACTACACCAGGACTGCCCAATCATGGTGAACCCTACACTGGCCTCTGAGAAACTAACTCTCCTTTGGGATGTCCTTAACCATTAACCAGGAATGACACTTTGTTCTCGCTGGCCTGAACTTCAGCTGCACAGAGCAAAGTGGACCTGAGGTCACCCTCCATGTGACCCTAAAGTATTTAAAAAAACATTCAAATCCACAAGGTTTCTACCCATCCATCCTCACCCATTCACCCATCCATCCACCCATCCATCCACCATCCATCCCCATCCACACCCATCCACCCATCCACCCATCCAACCATCCATTCATCATCCATCCATCCATCCATCCAATCCACACCCATCCATCCGTCCATGCCATCCATCCATCCACCCATCCACCACCCTCCACATCCACATCATCCTCCACCATCCATCACCCACCCCTCCATCATCCACCATCCACCACCCATCCACCCATCCACATCATCATCCACCTCTGTCCATCCTCCCGTCCATCCATCCATCCTCCCGTCCACCCATCCCGCAACTTGCAGGAGGTCAGCCATGTTCATAGTGACCCTGCTCCAGTGACAACAGCTTCGAGTGACTCTCTGAAAGTCATTAGCATAAGAAATGTGTGCCATGTTATATGTACAAGTCTTGGATCCTGACAACCCTCAATGAGATCTTGTTAAGAAATGAGATCTTTGCACATGTGATTGAATCGGGATGAGGTGCGGCAGGAGCAGATGGCCCTAAATCCATCCAACGCTGTTCTGATAAGGAGCCTGTTCAGGGAAAATCACAGGCAAAGTGGCAGGAGTGTCTACACTTTGGACATGGGACATCTTGAAGAGGGGCCGAGTAGGGTAGATGGGACCAGCCATGCTCCAGCTTGACCTCAGACTTTGCCTTCCATAAAGGCAAAAGTACAGGGATCCAGGTTTTTCAGTGACCTATAATTCACGCTATAGATAACCCTGATACCTCATTAATATCTCTGAGCCCATCTGAACCCAAAGGGAAACCCCGCCAGAGTGTGAACAGGGAGGATCACCACAATTGTGTCGGCTCCGATGACCACGTCAGGTGCCCGGAGGTCTTTCTGCAAAAAAGGCAGATTTAGAAGGTGACACGTGACAGGACACCATTGCCCTCCCACGAGAACGGCCTCAGGTCGAGCTGAGATTCCCTGCATCAAATTATCCCTGAGCTATTCTGGCTTAAGCCCAAATGTTTTTTAACAAGGTAGTTAATTTGAGAAGCGGGCATTGATGACAAAAAAATAAATCCAAGTTGAAAATGTCATCTGGGAGCTGACGTGGTGGCTGATGTCTGTAATCCCATGCACAAGGGAAGGGGACATCAGGAGGATCACAGTTGGAGGCCAGTCCAGGCAAAAAGTTAGTGAGACCCCATCTCAACAAACAAACAACCAGGCATGGTGGATTATGTCTGTTATCCCAGCTATGAAGGAGGCACAGTCAGGAGGACTTTGTCGTCCACCAGCCCGGTGAAAAACCACGAGACCAAAATGGTGTGCAAGGAAAAAGGGCCGGAGGTGTCACTCAAGGGGTCCAGCTCAGAGCCCTGCATTGAGACCCACGCGTGGTTGATCTGTCTTCTACCATCCTTCCATCCATCCATCCATCTTTCACCTATCTTCCTACTTATTTATCATCTGCCATCTGTGCGTGCATCATATCAAGCACAATGGTATTCTACGTCCTGATGGACAGCGAGAGATGACGGCTCTTGAGTCTGCACAACACCTTACACCGCGGTGTTCGTTTCAGGGGCATATTACACAGTCAGGAAGAGTGAAAGACACACCAGGTGAATTCCATAGGTCTAGGATGCAATCAATCACCCCGGCCCCTGACGTTACGCAACACAAAGTTTTGATCCCACATTGTGCAAAGCAAATTTACTTAATGCAAACAGCAGCTCTGTACAAACCCGGAACCCCCGGAGAAAGGACGGATGTCCACTCGCCTGCTGCACGCGGTTGGCGACCTCCAGGGCTTTCTGCTTGGCCGTCTCCATGGCGTAGGCGTAGGGGCTGGGGAAGGAGGCTTTGCTGAGCGTCTCCTTAAACCGGGAAGGGACCACCTCGAACCTGAGGCCCTGGAACAGGAGACAGGCATTTGCAGGACAGCGGGAAGGATTAATGGGGTGCACGATTTTTGCAGACGAAGCGCATTTTCCTGACCTGGGGTCCCCGTCCCCGTCCCCTAAGCCATTTGCTGACATGGGAGGACAGGACGGATCAGCGTCCCTGGACCTGGCAGGAAGACGCTGATACTAAATCAATTATAATACCAGTTATAGGAGCCCATGGTGACAGCCGGGCTGCGTTAATTGTAAGTTGTAAATGACACAGCTGTGCAAGGCGTTCTTCCTTTTTTTTTTTTTTTTCTTTTTTGAGGCAGTCTGGCTGTTTATTCCAGGCTGGCCTTGATCTCATTACATAGTTCAGTTGGTCCTTGAACTCATGCTCCCCCTGCTTCAGCCTCCCTAGGGCTGGGATTACAGCTGTGCACCACCATGCCCGGCTCTGACGGTACTCGGTATTAATGTATCTGATACGGTCAATTGCAATACAGTATTGCTAAGTTCCACCATCTGTCACCACACCGAGGCCAACAGGGCCCGATCGATTGTGGCCCTGAGGCCACCAGGAGTCACAGGGCTTCCAAGCCCTGAGGTCAGTCCACTCAAAATAACTAAAAATAGCCCAGAAATGACAGCCAGGTATGATGTTAATGCTGCCTTTCCTTGGTCCCTAGATCTACAGGGACTGGTATCCCTATTCCTAGATGCTGGCTGGAGGCCACTCCACAGTGGACTGCGGACAGGATTGTGTCCCTAATGGGGTGGAAAGGGTAAATCCCCCCCAGTGAGCTCCCCTGTGGCTGTGCATAAGGATTGAAGGCATCCCCTCTGCTGTGTCCCCTCCCCACCCCAGTTTCTCCTGGACCTGCCAGGAGCCCCTCAGCTCTGTCCCCTTAGCTGTCCCCATGGCTGGACCTAAGGATACCGACCCCAGCCCCCAGGCAGGACCCTGTGCCTCTGCACCTGCTCCTGTCCTCAGCCCCTTCTCCCCAACATGGCACCTGCCACCACCCTGTATTCTGGACCTTCCTCCCCACTACTGTCTCCAGGGCGCCCACGTACAGACCTGCTCCTGTCCCCTGCCTACAGGTCAGTAGGTCACTAGCTCCTGGGTTCCCACCAGGCAGACCCTGACCCCTCAGGTCATGGAGACTTCTGTCCCCATACCCCCCACACAATGTGGCCTGCAGTCTGTCCCCTATCAGGTGCTAGTCCGCCCCCCCTTCACTGCTGTCAATCAACAAACCTTCCATCTGCTACCATTAAAGAAGCCACTCCCCCAGGGTCACCAGGAGCACCCCAGCCCCCCATCTCCAGGGGCCTGACATCAGGCCCTGCCCCCCATCGCTAGGCGTACAGTCACTGTTGTCAATCAACAAACCCTCCCTCTCCCATCACAGAAACCCCTCCCCCAGGGTCACTAGGAGTCCCCCAAACTCTCCCTAGGGACACAAGGACTCCCAATCACTAGGTCCCCGTCACTAGGAGCACCCCGATCTCTAGGACACCCCCAGAAGCCCCCCTTATCTGCAGGGGACCTGACCTCAGGCCCTGCCCCCATCTCTAGGCGCCCAGTCACTGATGTCAATCAACAAACCCTCCCTCTCCCATCACAGAAACCCCCCCCCGGGTCACTAGGAGTCCCCAAACTCTCCCTAGGGACACAAGGACCCCCAATCACTAGGTCCCCATCACTAGGAGCACCCCGATCTCTAGGACACCCCTAAAAGCCCCCCTTATCTGCAGGGGACCTGACCTCAGGCCCCGCCCCCATCGCCACCCTCCCATCGTGTGTAGACGACATCCGGGGCCCCTCCACCCAGTCACGGGTCCCCCGATTCCCCTCGGCCTCAGTCATCAGGGGTCCCCCAGGGTCGGGGGGCCCCCCGCCGACCCCGAGCCCCAGCCAAGCCTCACCGCGTTGCTGAGGATCTCCTGGCGGCGCGGGGACGCGCTGGCCAGCACCACGCGCTTCTGCTGCAGCTTTCCGATCACCGGGAACAGCACCATGGCGCCGAAGGGCCGGGAACCCCAGACCCCAAAGCCGGGACCGCAGACCCAACCCCCAAAACCCGCGCGGCGCACAGGAAGCTGCGCAGGAAACGGCCACGCCCCCCGGGCCGGGTGAAGCCACGCCCCGCGCTAAGCGTACCCACGTATGCGCACCACGACACGCCCCCGCCATGGCCAGGCATCGCCTTTGCCTTAGTGAAGCTCCGCCCCTCACGCAGCGCGTGACGTCTACGCACTTGACTCCGCCCCCGCCCCGCCCCAGTCGTCTAGGGAACCTCTGCCCCTCCCACTAGGCGCGCAAAGTCCCCCGGCACTTGGCGTCCATGCCCCGCCTCACGTAGCGAAGCTCCCCCCTCCCGCCTTGCGTTTGGCGTATACGCCCCTGGCCACGCCCCTCTGGCCGTGCCACGCCCTCGCCTTGCGCCAATCGCTTAGCTAAGCTCCGCCCCTCACGCCAGGCGCGCAGCGTCTCAGCCCCGCCTTCGCCCACCAATACTCCGCCCCGTCCGTGCCATGCAGGCGTTGTGCACGCCCCTGACCCCGCCCCTGTCTGGCTAAGCCCCGCCCTCTCAGCCTTCCGCCATACGCCTAACAAAACTGTGCCTCTCCCGCCTTGCGAGTGACGTCTTTGCCACTGACTCTGGCCTCTCTGTTCTCTCCACGACCTCTCTGGCCTGGTCACGGCCTCGCCATACACCACTTGCTTGGCTAAGCCCCTCACACCACGCACACAGCGTCCCCAGACCGCCTCGCTTGGCGGGCGCTAGACTCGTCCCTGGCCCCGCCCCTCTCTGCCTGGCCCCGCCCACTCAGTCGTCCGCCCTGCTCCTAGCAAAGCTCGCCCCTCGCGCCTTACGCGTGACGTCTACGCCTCTAACTCCGCCCCTTTCCGGCCCGGCCCCGCCCTCGCCCTGCGCCACTCAACTAGCGAAGCTCCGCCCCGCTCCAGTACGCCACGCCCTTCCGGAGCGAAGCCACGCCCCGTCCCCCCCCGGAAGTGGGTGGGGAGATGCCGCAGAGATGGGGGGCCCTGCCATGGGGTACGTGGAGTGGGACAGTTCCTCATGGCGATAGGAATCCTTGTGCGCATGATGGGGGGCGCTGGAGATGGGGGTCCCTCGGGCAGACACCTTAGGAGAAGGGCAGATGGAGGGGACCCCCGGAAATGGGGGGGGCCCCGTGTGATTCGTAGGGTCAGTGCAGATTGGGGATCCCCCAGAGACAGGGGGACCCCTGTGATCCCTGACGGGTGTGAGGATGAGGGGTCTCCAGGTGGTCTCAGGGGGGACTTGGAGTTTGGGGGTGCACTGGGGGGCATGAGAATATTGGGGGGGTGTCACGGGGACTCATTGGGGGGCGTGAGAATGAGGGGTCCCGGGTGGTCACATGGGGCGTGGGAATCGGAGTTCCCCATAGGCTTTTTGGGGAGTGTGGACATGAGGGACCCCATGTGACCCCTGTGCTCACATGGAAAGGACGTGCAGCTGAGGTTGCACGCGGGCTCTGTGGGGGGGTTGTGGGAATGAGGGGTCCCCATCCCCTTCACAAGGGGGGCATAGGATTGGGGTGCACGCGGGCTCTGGGGGGGTTGTGGGAATGAGGGGTCCCCATCCCCTTCACAAGGGGGGCATAGGATTGGGGTGCACGCGGGCTCTGGGGGGGTGTGGGAATGAGGGGTCCCCATCCCCCTTCACAAGGGGGGCATAAGATTGGGGTGCACGCGGGCGCTGTGGGGGGATTGTGGGATTGAGGGGTCCCCATCCCCCTTCACAAGGGGTGATAGGATTGGGGTGCACGTGGGCTCTGGGGGGGTTGTGGGAATGAGGGGTCCCTATCCCCCTTCACAAGGGGTGATAGGATTGGGGTGCACGTGGGCTCTGGGGGGGATTGTGGGATTGAGGGGTCCCCATCCCCCTTCACAAGGGGGGCATAAGATTGGGGTGCACGTGGGCTCTGGGGGGGTTGTGGGAATGAGGGGTCCCCATCCCCCTTCACAAGGGGGGCATAAGATTGGGGTGCACGTGGGCTCTGTGGGGGTGTTGCGGGATTGAGGGGGTCCCCGGTGGTCATGGTGGGGGACGTGGGTATCGGGGTGCACGTGGGTCATTGGGTGGTTACGAGAATACGGGGTCCCCCAACTCCCTTACCCCTCTGTGGTCCCATTGTGGAGCTTAGAGATGAGGGTGCTCTTGGTCTTAGTAGGGGACGTGGAGTTGGGGTGCACGCGGGCTCTAGGGTGGTGTGAGAACGAGGGGGTCCCCATTCCTCTTCGCGTTAGGGGTTGTAGGATGGGGGTGCACGTGGGTCAGGGGGGGATGGAAGAATGAGGGGTCCCCAGAGGTCAAGGGGGAGAGGGGGCGGGGCTTGGAGATGTGGGGTCGGCGTGGAGTCATAGGGCAGTGAGAATGAGGGTCCCCCACACACCGTGGTCACAGTGGGGAGTATGGAAATGGGGGCGTCCCGTGGACATGGTGCAAGATGGGTGTAGTGGGGGACATGGAGATGGGGTCACGGTGGAGGATGTGGGACCCCCTCCCTGGTGGGGTGAAATTTTTGGGGGGTGCTGTGTCCCCTGAATTTCTAGGCAGTGACCTCGCCTGCGATTCCTCCGGCGGCCTGCAGGTGGCGCAGATCCCAGGCCTTGAGTCACCAGGGGTAAAATGGCAAAAGTAGCAGTGAATCCGGAGAAAACTGTAATTATTGGGGAGTGGGGGAAAATGGACCCCCACATTTGATATCTTCTTCTTAGTACCGTGTGTTTAAAAAAAACCGAAGATGAAAAAAAAAAACCCAGCAGAAGAGAGATTGGGATTTCAGGCAGGTGGGGAAATGGTTCCGTTTTAGAAGTAGAGGGGAAACAGCACCTTATAAACGGCCATAAATAAATAAAACCGTGCGGGTGACACCACAGACCCCACAAGCTGTCAGAGGTGACGTCAGGACACAAGACTCCAACATGGTCACTTCCAAAGCCGTTGTTGGACTTCCCAGCTGTCCTGTCCCAAAGGGGACATGGCCACTTGCAGATCACCAGCAAATAACAGGTTACAGGATGGGTTCCTTCCACCTGCAAAGCCCCTATTTCCAAGTGAGGTCCCATTCTCAGGTTCCAGGTGACACAGCTTTTGTAAAAGACCCTATTCCCTTCAGATCTGTGGAAGTCGACCATATTCCAATATGGCGGCCTGGCCCAATGGCGTGGGTGACACAGCTGGACCAGGATGACCTCATCTCAAGATCCCAATTCCATCTGCAAAGACCCTATTTCCAAATGAGGTCCCATTGTCAGGCCCCAGGTGACACAGCTTTTGGAAAAGTCACCATTGCCCTCAGTTCTATGGATCTTGACCATATTCCAATATGGCGGCCTGGCCCAATGGGTCATGGATGGGCCATGGATGACCTCATTTCAATGGACTTGAGCCACTCCTCCAGTCCGGTTATTTGGGAAATGGGGTTTTGGGAACTATTTTCCTGGCTGGCCTCGAACCTTGATCCTCCTAATTTTAGCCTCCCAAGTAGCTGGATTACAGGCTTGAGCCACCTCGCCTGTCTCTTAGCCTTTTTTTTTTAATAAGTCTTATTTTTGCATTTTTATACCAGAGCTGCAGGGACCACATCAAGCATTAATTAGATTCAATCAACTCCCAATTCCCCAAGAAGCACCCCAAAAACGTCCATTTGCTCCTACGCACAAAGACAACCATCTTGGTTTTTTTTTTTTTTTGTAGAAAAAATGAGATTTTATTTCACAATAACTTCAGACAGACAGAGGAGGTCACGGTGACTGCCTCACGGTGCCCCCCTCGCTTGTTCCCTTTCTATGGCCTCTGCGTGACACCTCGGTCCATTTGTCACCGCCAAGCCACCAACACTGCACCCCCTAAACGTCCTTGTTGCTCACCTTGGGCTCCAGTTCCACCGCAGTCCTCTCACTAATGGAAAATGTGTAAGTACAAAAGAAAAGGGAGTCGGACAGACAGACAAGTGTATTTGTCCTTTGTGCAGTGGCGGGGGGCGGGGGGGACGTCCTGTAGGGCAGGTTGTTGACTGCACAACCGATTTCCTTCCGTCCTGCGGCTTGTTCACAAGACACTTTTGGGGGTGTCATGTACACGGCCGTGGGTTGCGACTTGGGGTTTCTCACGCCTTCTGTTTGCACCAGGCCCACCCGACACCCCGTCTTCTCGCTGGTTCACCATTGGTTTGTAGGTTTGGCTTTGGGGGCAACCCGAGCAGCCAAGCAACTTCGGGGTTCCCGCGGTGGTCACTGGTTTTGGGGTCACCTGTGTTCCCACAGGTGACTGTCCCCATGGGAAATTGCAGCCTTAGGTATTGGGGTGTCTTTCTGTCCTGAAGGACCTGGGAACCCATTGGTTTCTGCTATGCAACATTTAGGGTGCTCGTTGCATAGGGTCACCGTCCATGTCCTTGGGATAGGCTGTGTCACCTTTTTCGGGGGGCTGGTGGAATGGGGGACCGGGGGTGGCTTCCCCAGGGTCCCCGAGCCGTCCTCTGCAAGCCACTGTCACCGTGTCACCAAAAAACGATGCCGTGTGTCCTCGGCGGCTTTGAAAGTTTGCATACACGTGTCCCCAGGTGGAAAGTGAGAACTGGGGTCACCCGAACCCCACAGCCTCAAGGCAGCAATTGCAGGGGTCTGTCTGCAAACCCCGAAAGATAGTGGGGTGGCCAGTCCATGCTGGGGGCTCTGCAAAGCCACCATTTGGAGGGAGGAGGCGCTTTTGCAAACTCTGTCCGGCTTGGTGCAAAAGCACCATGCTCGTTGCGTTTTTGGGGGTCCTGTGCACACCATGCACCCCTTGGGGCAAACCCACCAGGCTCTCCGTTTTGGGGGGCTGCTCGTGCATGGCTTGGTGCAGACCCACCACACTTAGTTCATTTGGGGTGCTCTTCTGCAAACCATGCATATCTTGTTGCAAACCATCCAGGCTCGGTGCATTTTGGGGTGCGAATTCCCCGCACTTGGTCCATTTTGGGGAGCTCCTTTGCAAAACATGCACACCTTATGAAGAAAGACACCAGTCTTGGTGCATTTTGGGGTGCAAATTTACTATACTTGGTCCATTTTGGGGTGGTCCCTTGCAAAGCATGCACACCTTGTTGCAAACCCAGCACACTTGGTCCATTTTGGGGAGCTCCTTTGCAAAGCATGCGCACCTTATGAAGAAACAGCAGGCTTGGTGCATTTGGGGTGCAAATTCCCCACACTTGGTGCATTTTGGGGTGCGAATTCCCCGCACTTGGTCCATTTTGGGGAGCTCCTTTGCAAAGCATGCGCACCTTATGAAGAAACAGCAGGCTTGGTGCATTTGGGGTGCAAATTCCCTGCACTTGGTGCATTTTGGGGTGCGAATTCCCCACACTTGGTCCATTTTGGGGTGCGAATTCCCCACACTTGGTCCATTTTGGGGTGCTCCCTTGCAAAGCATGCGCACCTTATGAAGAAACAGCAGGCTCGGTCCATTTTGGGGTGCGAATTCCCCGCACTCGGTCCATTTTGGGGTGCGAATTCCCCGCACTTGGTCCATTTTGGGGTGCTCCCTTGCAAAGCATGCGCACTTATGAAGAAACAGCAGGCTCGGTCATTTTGGGGTGCGAATTCCCCGCACTCGGTCCATTTTGGGGTGCGAATTCCCCGCACTTGGTCCATTTTGGGGTGCGAATTCCCCACACTTGGTCCATTTTGGGGTGCTCTTCTGCAAAGCATGCACACCTTATGAAGAAACAGCAGGCTTGGTGCATTTGGGGTGCAAATTCCCCACACTTGGTGCATTTTGGGGTGCGAATTCCCCACACTTGGTCCATTTTGGGGTGCGAATTCCCCGCACTTGGTCCATTTTGGGGAGCTACTTTGCAAAGCATGCGCACCTTATGAAGAAACAGCAGGCTCGGTCCATTTTGGGGTTCAAATTCCCCACACTTGGTCCATTTTGGGGTGCGAATTCCCCGCACTCGGTCCATTTTGGGGTGCAAATTCCCCGCACTCGGTCCATTTTGGGGTGCGAATTCCCCGCACTCGGTCCATTTTGGGGTGCGAATTCCCCGCACTCGGTCCATTTTGGGGTGCGAATTCCCCGCACTCGGTCCATTTTGGGGTGCGAATTCCCCACACTTGGTCCATTTTGGGGTGCGAATCCCCCGCACTTGGTCCATTTTGGGGTGCTCTTCTGCAAAGCATGCGCACCTTATTATGAAACCCACCAGGCTTGGTGTATTTTGGGGTTCAAATTCCCCGCACTTGGTCCATTTTGGGGTGCTCCCTTGCAAAGCATGCGCACCTTATGAAGAAACACAGCAGGCTTGGTGCATTTTGGGGTGCAAATCCCCCGCACTCGGTCCATTTTGGGGTGCTCCCTTGCAAAGCATGCGCACCTTATGAAGAAACACAGCAGGCTCGGTCCATTTTGGGGTGCGAATCCCCCGCACTCGGTCCATTTTGGGGTGCTCTTCTGCAAAGCATGCGCACCTTCCGAAGAAACCCGCCGGGCTCGGTGCAGCTCCTCAGCACAGCCCACCCGGCCCCAGTCACCCGCAGTCCAATCCTCAGGTCACCCCACCTGCGCCGTCCCCAGGGGGTGACCTCAGTGTCCCCGTCCCCGGCCTTTGGTGCTCGGCCCTCAGAACACGCTCTCCTGTCTCTTCAGGCCGGGCCCGGCCGCTCCGGCCACCCTGAGCCCGTCGTCGTCCCCAGCGTCCCCACCGCCGGACCTGGCCGACATGGTGCGAGGCGACAGGAGGCTGGCCCGGCGGGTGTCCGGGCTGTCGCTGGGCAGCCGGCCGTAGCCCAGGTAGCCGCGGAGCCGCCGCTGAAACTCCCGGGAGGCGAAGTAGTAGACGAAGGGGTCCAGGCAGTTGTTGAGGCAGCTGAGGCACAGGGTCAGCTTGTACACGTGGTACAGGCTGCGGCCCAGGTACAGCCGGGCCACCATGTGCACCAGAAGGACGAAGTTGTTGGGGGCGAAGCAGGTGACGAAGGCCACGAGGACCACGGCGGCCAGGCACACGGAGCGGCGACGCTGGCCCCCGCCCTGGCCGTGGGGCGTCCGGAGCAGCTTGAGGATGGTGGCCGTGTAGCAGGCGACCGTGACCACGAAGGGGATGAGGAAGAGCAGGACGAAGATGGTGAACAGGAAGACGGCCCAGGTGGCCACGCTGGGCAGCATGTTCCACTTGAGGACGTCGAAGCAGGTGACGATGCCCAGGTCGCGCACCTGGAAGGTCAGGTCCGTCCTGGCCAGCGGCGACAGGGCGGCCAGCAGCAAGACCCAGGTCCCCAGGCAGGCGGCCACCGCGTAGCGCCGCCGTCGCCAGGGCACGGACGTCAGGGGGTACACGACCCCCAGGAAGCGCTCCACCCCGATGCAGGTCATGGTGAGGATGCTGGAGTACATGTTGGCGTAGAAGGCCACCGTCACCACGTTGCACATGGCCCGCCCGAACACCCAGTGGCTGCGGTTGTAGTGGTAGGCGATCTGGAAGGGGAGCACGGCCGCCAGCATGAGGTCAGTCACGCTCAGGTTGATCATGAAGATGACAGACGGGGACTTGGGCCCGATGTGGCGGCACAGGACCCACAGGGAGAAGAGATTCCCGGGGAGGCTGACGAGCACCACCAAGGAGTAGACGACGGGCAGGGCCACGGCGATGGCCGGGTTCTGCAGCATCTGGAGGGTGGCGTTGTCCAGGCCGGTCACGTTCACGTCCATCCTGGGGGCGGCCGCGCGCAGAGGGACTGGTCATCGTCACACAGACGTCAAAGGGTCCGGGGTGGCTGCGAGACGAGGGACACAGGGGTGAGATGGACGGACAGACGGGACACGCTGACCGGCACACCCGCACCTTTTCAATTTTTGTTGCTTTGGGAAGGGAAGGGAGCGTGTCGCGAGGGGCGGCGCGGTGGGTGCCACTTTGCAGCCATGAGGACGGCTGGGTGGATGACCCATTGCCCTGTATGGTTTGTTGGTTTTTTTTAGGGTGTCCAGGCACACGGGCTTCCCCTCCCCAGACAAGTGGGGGTGCTGCAGGCCTGAATCCTGGTCTCAAGGACAATGGTGGCTCCCTGACTCAGCTCTGTCACCTTCCCAAGGTCACAATGGAGCCCAATGCGGGAGTGGCCGTTGAGGGGGCACTTATGGGAGCTGAAGAAATTGAGGGTCCCCAGGGTATCGACTTCATGGCCTCCCAATCCCGCCGTTGCACAACCTTGGGTGCAAGGGGGTCAGGAAAGGGGCGAGTGACAGGTGTCCCAAACTCCAGAAGGACGTCATCATGGCGGTGGGGGATGACTAATGTCCCCCAAAAGGCTGAAGCGTAAGCAGGTGATGCCATCAGGAGGACACCGAGGCTTTCTTTGCTTCCCAGCCACCATGATGGGAGCAGCTTAGCTCCACCTGGCAACTCCGGGCGCCATCTTGTTTTACCTCACGGTGGACCAAAGCCACGGGTGGAAATGTGAGTGAAAGTGTTTCCTCCCTTATTCACGTCACTTGTCGTCATGGTCATGGGACGCTCAGGGAGGTGGACGGTGTGACTGGGGGACAGGAACGGGGTCCCCCGTTAGGGCTGCTCTTCAGCCAAGGACTGAGAACAAAGCTGGGACCGAGCCATGCTGGGTCGGTGACAGTGACGGTGTCACTGTGGCTTAGCCATTGTGTGTGAGGGATCTCGCCTGTGCATGTCACCATGAGGGGTCACCTGTGTGTGATGGGAGGCCAAATTCGACAGACTGTACGTAAAGGGTGTTCTTGCTGGGCTGGTGGGCCACGACACATCAGGTGACGGCTGGGAGATGAAAACGTGAGGTTCCCATGAGAAGAGCGGGGTGCTGCGCCCAGAGGACAGCGTGGCCACTTCTCAGAGCTCCCGGCTGGACCGGCGTGAGGTAAGCGCTTGACATCTAGGTCTGTCTGTCCATCATCCATCTATCTGTCATCTATCTATCATCTACCAATCCATCAATCGATTGATCTACCGTCTACCCATCCACCTACCTCTGTGCAGTGCCGGGGTTCGCTCTCTGCACCCCACACTTACCAGAAACCCAATTGCACCCCATTTCCATCCTCCTGCTCTTCAGCAGAGCCATGGTGATGGCCACGGTGTCCCCCACACTGGCCCACGGACATAGGGACAGAGACGGGGGGTTGCTCCTGTGACACTAAGGACACCACCATAGTCAACCCGGTCCCCAAGTCCTGCCTTTCACTCCTGACCCCACTGCTCTGAACCCCAAGTCCTGCTCCCTTTCTGGGTCAAGAAGAACCTGGACCGTGACAACCGTGGGACTCGGTGTCCCCGGCGGGGCCCGTCCTGTGCCCGGTAGCGTCCCTGCTCTGCAGGCTCTGTGTCCTGATTTGCAAAAGCCCGGTTTTGCACTGCACCATCACGGTCCGGAAGGCTCTCGTGCATGAGAGGCTGAGGTTGCTTGAGAACCCAGACACGTGGGGTTCGAGGCCCCCGAGAAGGTCGTGCGTGCCTCACTGTCACCTCTGGGTCCCCAGAGGCCCAAGGCCACCGGGTGCCGCCGTGAACACCTCGGGGCGATTGCACCACTCCGGCACGGCACCCATCAGTTGGTGCCCCAGACACAGCCTTTAGCGGCTCTTTCCGCTTTCATGTCACATTTCAGCTGCGACACCTGGTCACTGGAAAGTGTCACATGCTTCCTGCCTGTGGGTGAGACTCTCGGGTCCCCTCATGCGCACCGGTGTCCTCAGTCGCCCCGTGAGCGGCCGGCCACCCCTGTCTTCAGGGACAAACTGGCCGTCAAAGTCCTTGCTGTCCCCAAGGGACACATCCAGAAGACAGAGAGCCAAGACACTGGGGACACACAGAGCGGGTTTGGGGTCTCTCTCTCTCTCTCTCTCTCTCTCTCATCAAAGCACACAGAAATGCAGCCTTTTCTTCAAAAGCCCCCAAATGTAACCGCAAACTCACACACATCCCCCCATCTCCCCTGAGCCCCCAAACTGCACACGTACGGCAGGAAGGACTCTGGTCTCCTGCGCCGTCACCGTCACCCCCGTCCAGTCGCACAAAAGATTGGCCGCCCCGAAAGGAGACCCCGAAACCCAGTGGCTGTTGGCCATCGACCCATGGGTTCATGGGTGAGGCACACGTCCGGTTAACGGAACCCGTTCTTGTTCGTGGCTGTGTAATATTCCAGCCCTGCGTGGCTCGCCTTCTTTCTGTCTGTCCAGCAGCGGGCCGGTTCTGCCCCCATTGCACCCCAAGTCCCAGGTAGGGGCGGACCCCGTGAGCCGCCAGCTGACCCTTCACGTCCCCGACGGCCGGCCTGTGACGTGGGACCCCTTTGGGGGAGGTCATTGAGGGCCTCGGGGGATGGGCATTCATTTAATTGTGACCACCCCCCCCCACCGAGGGGGCTGTGACAAAGGGATGGTGACCGACAGGTGGGGACCTCAACTGTCACAGAGTATCCAGTGATGTGGCTCTTGTGATGTGTGTCACTATACAGTGACAGATGGGCCCATAGGTGACCCAGTCACTTCGCCCGTTGACAAGAATGGTTGAAACCAAAACCCGGACAGGGACGGTCACCAGGTGACCACAGAGTAGCCACCATTCCAAGTGGCCCCCCCCAGGTGACCTGATGCACAGAACGTCATTCATGCAGCCGGTGGAATATTAGGCACCTGTGAAAAAGGATGGATTCCTCACACCTGCTACAAGGACAGCTTGAACCCCGGCCACCGGGTGACAGAAGAGGTGACATTGTATCTGGCTCCATAAATAAACAACGTCGTGACAGGGAAATGCACAGAGACACAAAGTGGGTGTTTGCTTTGGGGTGGGGCTTGGCACTGACAGCTAATGGGGACGGGCTCTCTTTTGTGTGAGGGGGTTGAGAATGTTCCAGAACCAGGCCCCTGCTTGTTTTTTTTTTTTTTTTACATCTTATAAATTACGTGTCAACAAAATAAAAACCAATTGAACCCCAACGTGGGCAAGAAAAGTGTTAAATTCTGGTTTGCACCCCGGTTTTTAGATGATTTTGTCCGCCATGTTTTCTGGGCTTCCTGCCAATCCCAGCTTCCGAAACTTCTTTCCCTTTTCCCCACATCCCCCAGGGAGCTCAGCCACAGAAGGGCCAAGTGACATTGAGCTACTTCTCTTTTGCAAGGACCAGCACGGCTTTCTCTGGCCAATGCCACCACTGTCACTCACTCTGTGGTCACCACGGTCCATTTAAGCTACAGGTGACCCTGGGCAGGGTGACAGGGGAGTACACTGTCCTTGTCCCCCACAGGACAGACAGGAAGCCACAGTGAACTGGGTCACGGATCCACTCGGCTCCGCATTTTCTCGTTTCCTCCTTTGCACAGACCACAGATGGCTTTGTCCCCACCAGGGCCACACACCAGGGCCATGAGGGGACAAGTGACCCTCGGTTGTCAGGTCCCATGTCACACCCTAGAGAGAGCATGGGGTCACAGTGACCGATTGCAAATGGTGACCTTTCTGGCAAAGCCCTGTACACAGGGGGAACCTGAGGCACGGTGCACGGCACTCACGACCCAGCTCTGTAACTCGGGGACCTGAGGTTGACAAATGTCACTTTGTCTTCTGCAGAAACTACTCCAAATCTGGGCGTCTGTGTGCAAAGCCCAGGTCCGTCTCTGCACCCTGGGGACCTTGTCTCTCCTTGGGGACAGTTCTTGGGGTCCCGTGGCCAGACAGTGTCTCCAGGAGGACTCCGGTCACCAGAGCTGTGATGATGTCGGATTTGGGGACATTCAACCCCAATTGACAGGTGACTTCGCACCTGTTCTTGGGGGCTTGGGGACCTGGGGACGGGACGTGAGGTCCCCGCCAAGCTTTGGAGAATTCCCGCACGGAGGAGCTGGCGCGCCTGGCGCCCGTTTGTCGGGAACACAATGGTGGCGTGGGTGTCCTCGGTCCCCATGGGACCCCAGCGCCGCCCCTCACCGTGGTGATCGGCCTTGCAGCCCATTCTTCACTTCTGCGCCTCAGTTTCCTTATTGGTTCTCCCCGACCCCCAAGAAAAGGCCCAGGTGTGCGGACCGGGGGCCCTGGTGGCGGAGAAGACACTTTCCATCATGCGTGTCCCCAGGATGTCACAAGACCACGACGTCCCCCCCCCACACTTCGTGGGACCCGGGTGTCCGGGTGAGAAACTGAGCTGCGCAATGAAGTGACGCCTTCCGGGTGCCCCACCTTCACCCTGCCCCGCATGTCATTGTCACTTACGGGGCTGCTGGGGACTGCAATCCGGGGGGCACTGGCGAGCTGGGGGCCCCCGCATTGTCCCCTCCTCCTGCCGCAGGCCGCGATCTGAACGGGGTCCTGAGGCGCCCACGAGGCGCTTGGCCTCGGACCCCCAAGACGGACGCCCAGGCCGCAGCCCCGACTTCGCGTTCGCCATCGGCGCCCCGTGGCCGGCGGACCAGGGCCGGTTCCCCTTTGCCACGTGGGCCCCAACGCGGGGACAGGAGGACGACAGTCGCGCGGGGGCCCCGGCGCGTGGCTTTTTTTTTTTTTTTTTAATATATTTGCCTTTTTTTCGCCGCGGGAAACTCCGGGCGCGGGCGCAGCCGGCGGTGAGAAAACGGGAATTTCAGGGCCGCGGGGACTCAGTGGTGTCTGGTTTTGAGTTTTCAATTTTCAAATACTTATATTGGGGACGGGGTCTTTAAGGAGGTGACTGAGGTACAATGGGGTCACGGGGTGGCCCTAATCCAGCAGGACTGGGTCCTTAGAAGAGGAGGACATAAGGACACAGACAGAGGG